TGGGTGGTGCATAAGCAGTTCTGTTAATTAAGTTGAAAATAATGTTGTAATGACCTAAATGGGGTGAATAAGTTAATTTGCTTGATTTTTGTAATTGATTAAATTGCCCACAAAGATTAACAATTAAACATCCATAATCACAAAATATGAACAGTAATATAAAGTAAAGTAGAGTTTGACATGACACTGAAATTTATAGCATAGAAACCCTATTAGAGAATATCATCCAACTCAAGAGAATACCATAGAGACCTTGCCGTCTTTTGTGAAACCAATCCACTATCTCAAAGCAAAGTACGACTCAATTTCACACCCTCTCCACCATACCAAGAACTAGTTGTTGAATGTCTTTTACTTTGCGACTCTTAGTCCAAATGTTCTCGACTTCAAGCTTGTTCCTCAATCCTTGTGGACGGGTTGTTAGTAGAACACCAACACTCCTCTAATGATCTGTTCCCTTTATAATAATTGATTTTCTCTCCTTTCAATGATACGAAGACTTAAGAAGGAATTCTGGTACTCTCAACAAAGTGAGTAAATCGATGTAGACTCTGAATGCCCTTTCAATCAGACGAAAAACATGACCCTAAATCACTTTTTAAGTGTTTGCTCTCAAAAAGATAAAAATATAATTTTTCCCAAACCGCTCTTTTTAATGGTGTCAAAAATTATTTTAGGTTTTTCTCTCAAAAGCCATATTAGGGATGGAGTTTAGCTAGAGCTAGAGGTATTTATTCCCGAGTCCTCAAAATATTAAGAAAAAGCTTGTAAAATCTTAGTAGAATCTCAAGGAGTTTGGATCAAAAAGGAAATTTAAAAGTTTCCAAAATCTAAAATCCCGCAACGTATCAGGAATGTGCGACTGGTCGGACTTGGACAGTCTGTAAAGAATGAAGATTTCGAGAAGTGCGGCTGGTCCAAGAAACTGTGACCGATCAGACTATATATTACAGATTGCAACTCGGAGATGATATTCATTTATAGGCCAAGTGCGACCGGTCTGGACTGGTTGAACTCACATACCCGTTCTAAGTAATGTTTCATCCAATCATATTGTATGAGGCATTTGAAATTCAGCTCCGACGATCAAGACACAAGATAAACAAAAATTATAATTTGATCGAAGAATTTTGACACCGAAATTTGTCAATACCAAAACCTCTATCTCAACCAAAAAAAAAAAAAAAAAAAAATGATAATTTCTATTATTAATAAATATTTCATCGTGGGTTCACGGAATCTTCTTCAATTTTCAGCTTCCAATTATTTTCAAGTGGATTTTTTCCCTTTCTATCTTTCTTCTGTAATTATTCTCACATCCTAGTGTACAGTGATAGTTATCAAGCCAAACGTACCCCACAATGGAGAATTTAGAAGCTTGGGGTATTCTTTTATCTTCTTACTTTTTCTTATTCTTCAAACATTAGTTCATCAATAAATATATGTATTTACTAGATTTTTTTTTGAGTGCTGAAAGTGTCATTATCTGCAAGGGATTCCCTTTCCTTAGAGGGCATGCGTGACCTCACGAAAGGTAAGGCACAAGGTAGCAACCATGCAAAGCTAATCCATAAGCCTTAACGTGCAGGAAATAGGACCCATCTATCTACATTTACCTCTTTGATATATATATATATATATAATATTGTTCATGTAAATAATTGGAATCCTATGTAGGTTTTTATTTTTAATTTTTATGATCTTATTTATCTTTTGAATGTGGAGAGCTAGCTTCATGTCCCTTTTCTTTGGATCGAATAAGGTGAGAGTGAGACTAATGTTTCACTGATAATACCTTCCTATTTTCTGCATATTCATCACCTCTTCCCTCGACATTACATAATAACCATTCCCACATCAGCCACCATGCAATCTTTCCAATATTTGGTATACATATATACATGTATATTTGTGTATATATAATACAAATTTAATGGAAAGTTAAGAATTTTTTTGATTGATTATGATTTTGGCCTTAGAAATATATAAGTTTTGAGAAATGCGCAAGTAGGGGAATTTTTTTGCTTGAAGAATGGCTGCTATTTTACTCCATTTAATTTGAATTAGGATCTCTTCTGACTATCCACTACATGTGGGAAGATGAAGATCACTTCACATGTATTGTATTTGTGGTCTGTAATTCTCTATAAATAGAGTCTACTCCACTTCAGGTAAAGTGGACCTAGTGAAGGCTCCACTGAATATATATATATTTTTTGGTATTATATACTTATTAATTTTCTTTTGTTGAATTATATATCTATAAAATTTCTAAATTGCCCCATAAAATTATTAAAAAAAATTCACTATTGCCCCCATTTCATGATTTGATTTATATTATCTTTTTATTGTTAAAAGTCTGTCCCCTTTCATATAATTTTTTTGAGTCTGTCATCAACTGAATTGTATACTGCATAAAATTATTTGGATTCAATATTCGATACACACTCACACAAATATGTAACTTTTAAAATTTCGATGGTCATTCAAGTCCTTTCTATATTGATGTACAGAAGTCCTCCTCGTGACTTATGATTGCCACATATCTATTTGCAACTTTACACACACATACACATATATTTGCAAGTATCTACTGTGTAATGAAGAGTGCAGGGGGGCATATTGATGAGCAGGGAAGAATAGGCAGTGCGGGCCACAGTTTATTCACGGGTTCTTCTATTAACAGATTCTCTCATGCAATCCCGCATATTTTGCTTTCAAGGGCAATTAAAAAGGCAATATTGCAGTGGAGCATCTATATTTTCAAAATTTTGCCTTTCTTCCACACACTTCCATGACTTTTTTTTGTAATCTGTCTCCTTCTTGAAATAATATATATATATATATATATATATATATATATATATAAACATTTTTCTAACAACTTAATCTTTTATTTACATGCCTCGGTTAAAACTATGGAAAAAAAAAATTACATTTTATTTTTTTTTGGCCGTTCAAAAAGAGACTGCCTAGTAAAAGTGCAAAAAAAGGGGCATTGTTGGAACGAAAAACAAATTACTGGGCTTTAAACTTTGGGCCTCGAAAGGCTCCTACTTTCACTCTAGAGCAATATAAGTGGCATTGACCAATCCAATGAGCTCTAAGCAACTTAGAAACCTTTTCCTTTACATTTTAGGTCCAGTATCATCAACAATGCAACACACCATATTCAGAATGAAATACTCATAAAACACTGTAACACATTTACGTCAAAGATACAAAATATTTACAACAAGAATGTAATACTCACACAATACATTTACATCAAAGATACAACATATTATACCGAGTTGCCACACTACGAAACAGGGCCGGAGCAGGATGTAAGGTAAGTGGGGGCAAAAATAAATTTTGGAGGGCAATAGTGCATTTTTTAAGTAATTTTAGTGGGGACAAATGTAACATTTCATGGGTATATTACAGAAAATGAACAAATTATAAGGATAAATACTAAAAAAAAAAAATCCAGTGGGGGAAATTGCCCCCACACCCTTCAATGTGGATCCGTCCATGCTACGAAACCATGCAACGTGTTTACATTCTCGATTTGATATTGTTATGTTAGTGTTGCATTATCGACTTTCCCCCCTAAATGTTGCATTATCTATCTAAATGCCAGAAGGTATTAAATTCAAAAATGCAACAGAGAGATTCTTGATTCTTAATCCAGTTTCTTTTTAAGCTATGAAAAGAAATTTTTTTTTTTTTTTTTTTTTTTTTTTAAATGGCATTTCTTATTGTCATGTATAGACTGTACTGCCTTTTCTGGGTCAGTACTGGGCCTGAATAACAGTTGGGCCTGGGTTCGCAGCTGATCTTAGCCAGCCGACTGGCCCAAATTCAAGCCATGTGAATCCCTAAGGACAATTTTGAGCTCCTATCACCCATGACGCATAATTTCACAAGAAATGTAAGATGAGATAAGAAGTTAGGGCATGAATTGAAGGAGATCCATATAAATCGGACTTAAAAATCAGACCTTAGGCCAGATTTAATAAACATATGTGACACATGTCATTCATATATAATACAAACAAGCCTTATATATCTCCAATATTTTGAATTTCATATTCGAAATTAGAATCCAAACTCAATAAATTAAATTTTGACTGTCTATATCTCAGGCCAAACTTGATCCATTTTGATGTGCTAACGAAGGTTCACTCCCAGGTCACGAACCAAGATCCCCTTCTGTTTGGAGGTGTCTTGTGCATTATATTGTGTACCAAAAAAAAAAAAACGTTTGGTGCACAACACAGATCCCAAAACGGCTGCTCCAAGTTCAAAGTCCTAACATGGAGTCCGCATTAGATTCCCTGTCTGTGCACTAAAACAACGTCGTTTGGTACACAAGACGGTGCATATGTGCCCTACAAATTGGGGGGATCCACTTCTCTCAAGTCCAAGGGCTGACTTGAACTTTGCCTCAGAAAACAGATCAACTCGAGTGTTGCCTAGACAAATAATGTAGCCATTATAATTGGAAGTCATCACAACCAAGTTCGGTTCATCCTTCCCCTACCAAAGTACCAACCACACTGCAAAATACTGCAGAATTTCAAAAACTGTCCACCCACAAAACATCACAACCTTTCACACGTCATTTGTCTCTCTTCCCCAACCTGTCACATGCTCTTCACAGATCAGAGCTTCCATTCTACAGAGGAGTTCAATATGTATTTTGTCTAAAGAGCAAATAATTTCACAACATATTAACTCATTCAATCACCAAACACAATATCACAGGCTCTATGCAGTTAAAAGCTTCCATTTTCTGAAAATGTAAAATTTTAAGCCTACTTGCTGACACCTTTTTTTATTTGATGTTCTCAAATATGAATTCGAATCCTCTACAGCATAGCATGCGTGTAAAACAGATAGCCACAGTCACTTACATGTGTGAGTGATAATGGCTGTTCAAATCCTCTACAGTATAGCATGCGTGCGCAACAAATAGTCACGATCACTCACACGTGTGATCATGCCACGTGTGAGTGATCGTGGCCGTCCGGCTATTACAGAATGCGCCACAATCCCTCCAATAGATAATGAAACATAGTACCATGTACGTACCCTAAAAAAAATAAATAAATAAATAAAAATACCATGTCCAATATTTTCACACACAATTCCTATTTTGAACAGGAATCATATTGCACATACAATTGGAACTTATTGGGCTTTCAATATTACAAAGGTAGCTGGAGCAACAAAGAGAAACATATCTCCACCTTGATCAATCCAAATATCCATTCATTGCATGTTCAGCACATCTATACCAACAAAACAAGAATATTCATTTGTTATCTGAAGAGCATTAGAGTTATTATTTTTCATGAGTTAAAAGCTTAAAATCACAATGACAAGAAAATATCTTACATTTGTACAAATGTTACATCACCAACGACCTCTCATTCCGTCTCACTAAAACCAAAAAAGACAATTTATAAACAAAAATCTGACCGACCAACTTGAATTTGAAAACATCACTTAACTGAGTTTTCTGCAACTTGCAGCCAAATTATATCCAGTCCAGTAGCTCCAGAGCAATCTAAAATTAATGTAGGGCAAAAGCAAATGACAGGAGGCATCAATTAAATGAATCAGTCACATCAATGCATGGATTGAATCCATTTGCAGAAGGAAATGAAATTTTTTTTTGAAAAGAAAAAAAAACAAAAAAACCTTGAAATCATGATAAGGACTTTGTTAGAGTGGCCAAGAAATTCTGCAACCTGATCAAGAGAGATGAATGAGAGGTAGAGATGTACAAGAGGGGGGAACAAGGAGAGACAAAACAAACAAGAAACACAGAAGTTAGAAACAACAGAAACAAGATATTATCCATGGGCGCAATGCTTGATCATTCTTTTCTCCTGTCAATAACAAGAAACTCAGATGAAAGTTATGGTAATTGAGAGAGAGAGAGAGAGAGAGAGAGAGAGAGAGGGGCAGGGAGAGAGAGAGGGAGAGAAAGAGATAGATAGATAGATAGATAGATAGATAGACAGACAGACAGACAGACAGACAGAGGGAGAGAGGGAGAGGGAGAGAAAGGAGAGATTAATCAAACAACAATGGGAAAACTACGTCCAAAAGAAGGTAGGAGGCAACCAGTGATGCAGACAAGTCCAGCTTCACAGATTGATGCAGTGATCGGAGAAGTAGACAATTAGCTGTGCAGAAGAAGTCAACACGAGGTACTGCAACGGTGGCGAAGACGTTCACGTCTTCTTCTTCTCCAAAGGATCTAGACTATATAAAGTGAGACAGAATTAGTTAAACAATAGGGAATTTTTAGGCAGAAAAAATGGTTACTGATGCAGTCAACAGAGAAGTAGACGACTAGCTATGCAGAACAAGACTAGCTTCCTACTTTGGGCTCGAACCCAAGTGACCCAATTGATTGGCCAAGACATTCACATCTTCCTCTTCACCTTCTTCATCCCCAGGTAAATCAAATTCTTCATTGAGATTATCATTAAACAATTCTTCCCAAAATCCCTCATCAAGGTCTTTAACCCCACTTTTAAATTGGTCAAGCCCTTCATTTTCTTCTTCCGGCTCATTTCTTGCTTTGCCAAACCCCTGCATTTCCAATGCAAGTGCCTCCAACTCTGAGACTTCAAAATCATAAGGATCACCAAATTCCAAAGGCTCAACTTTAACGGAATTTAGTCCCTCGCCGCTTCTACTTGATTGACCTCCAAAATTACTAGACACTTGATCGATTGGCCGCCTCCTTTTTTTAGTAATGGCCTCTTCAAGTTCCTTCCTCTTCTCCTTCTGCTGGACTAATTGCTGGATAAATGCTGGATTTTGCATAGCTCTTGCCAAAAAGCTCATCATTTGTTGCTGCTTCTTCTCTGTCCCTTGTAGCTTAAGTTCCATGGCTTGAAGGTGGGCTCTGGTATTCTGTTGTTGCTGTCTAAGCTTCACAAGTTCCACCATCAGGACCTGCTTGTCACGCTTCAGACGATCAACTTCACCATCTAATCCGAACCGTCCAACTTCAACACAAGGACCCAGTGCTTGTTGGGAAATGAGAGACTGAGAAGGTGCCTTTCTTCTTCTTATGTTCCTCAGAAGATGCTTCTGACCCCTCAGAAATCCTTCATTGGCAAACTCCCACCTATCTGGATCAATCTTTCTAAAGCCCTGGAGTCCACAGTCCAACAATCAAGAATTTCTAAGAACTTGAACTTATATGCAGATTAATTCCACATTTCGAGTCCAAAATCCAACAACCAAGAAATTCTCTAAACTTGAATCTACATGCTACATTTGGAGTCCACAAATCCAACAACCAAGAAATTCTCTAAACTTGAATCTACATGCTACATTTGGAGTCCAAAATCCAACAACCAAGAAATTCTCTAAACTTGAATCTATATGCAGATTCAAAGGCTTCATGAAGCTTCACAAAAGAAGAAGCACACTTGTTAAACAATAGGATTCATAACATCCCTGTTAAAGATAAGAGCTTGTATATAGTGACTCACATGTTTCATGTTTCTGCCCTAGCTTTTTGGGACAATTTTTTATATTTTTTTCCCAGTAAATTACTTTTTGGGACAATTGGAAAAAATCAAGATCCACATCTACAAAGAACCTTTGCAAAAAATGAAAAAGCACATCAATTTGGGGTGGGGATTGAAACATCTGCAGAATTCAGAAGAGCGAAAGATTGGAAGATTGAAACAAAATTCATCTAACATTCAATCCAGAAAAGGGAAAAATAGCCATTCTCAAAAAGCTGTTAACAAAACAGAGAACTGAAACTCAATAACTCATTTGAAATATCAAATCAGTTAAAAATTAAATAGGCCTAAAAAAAAAAAAACACAATTTTCAAAGGACAATCTCACAGGCCATTAATCAAACAATTTAGTGACATATCAAAAACTTCAAGAAATGACAATCCAGGCATCTATGTAACTACAAAAACTTAAACTTTTTCCTTGTTTACCCATCTGCAGTTATTTATTTATTTTTATTTTATGTTTGAAGAAATCCATGATTACATTCGAGTTGAGTTTGAAGAGAGTACTTACATAAGTGTTGAGCTGCCTTACAAAACTTGAGAAGTTGTTGTGCTTGAAGTATCTAGGGAGAAGACTGGTAGAGAAGGCATGAGGATCCCACACAACAAAGCTACTACCACCTCTGCTCCAAGACACAATTTGATCGATGGACGTGTCGTCCACCATGTCAAAGGTTTTGGTGAGAAACGGTGGAGGGCCCATGTCATGGAGCCCCTCCATTGGCTGTGGTACCGGCGGCATCATCGGCCGGCCACCGGACTTCGATGAACTAGATCCCGTGTAATCCTTAACTGGGTATGAACGATTCATGATTAATCTTCCAATAACTTGCTCAAATCTTGATGGGTTTAATTCAGATTCAAGGATTTTGTGAAAATTAAAGTCAATTTCACAGGGAAAAAATAATAATAATAAAAACCAGAAATATTTTGATCTGCTGAAAATGCAAACTTGAATACTAGCAAGAGAGAAATAGGTATACAGAAGAACAAAAGTAAAACACAACGAGTAAAGTTTTAGGAGGAAGAAAAGGATAAATAGATGTTAGTTGATTCAAAGCTACACATAAACTTGAAAGAAAATTGAAGAGATGGTTCTGAAGTACTATAAGAACAGTTGATAGAATAAACAGAAGCACACAGAGACGTTTTAGATTTTTTTTCCTTTTTCTTTTTGCTTACGGAGCTTCTTTCTACTTTGGGAAGGCGGTTTATGCAGTTAAGAAGTTGGGTTTGTTTTTGTGTCACAAGAAGCCTCCGAAATGAATGTTCTAAGGCGATAAATGGAAGTGAAACCCTATGTGTGATTGTATTGCAAAATATCTATGTAATGGAAAGTTCTAGAGACTTCGTGGGCATTTCTCCATTTTGGCGCTTATTTTATTTTTTTTATTTTTTATTTTTTATTTTTCTTTTTTCTTTCCGGGAGAGATATATCTTATTCTTCTTCTCCATTTGGCGGAAGGTTCTGGAATTTCTGGGGGTGCAGAAGTGATATATGGTGGAGGTATGGTGTAGGGCCCACAAATATTTATAAAGAGTGGTTTTGGTTTAGATAGTCCCTATGGAATATGTTTTGATTGGTGTTCACCTATGCCCTGCTTATAATTGGGTGACATCATTTGAAAATCACCACTAAATTTAGCTTGGCTTTTGCTTGGTTTGTAGGGCCCAAAATCAAGCTGTTTTTTTTTTTTTTTTTTTTTTTTTTTTTTTTAAATGTTTTAGTTGGGTAGTTTTAATATTTTATTTTATTTTTTTGACTTTTTAAAATGAGTTGTCAAATATTTTAAGTTTTTATAAAAGCAAAATGAAAGAGTGTTTTATTACCAAAAAAAGAAAATTCAAGTTGGCTTTAATGTGATCTTTCAAATAAGTTCATTCATTTAACACTTTAAGAATAACCAAAATTATTAAATAATATTTTAAAATTTTCTCAAGAATATAAGAGTATCTTTAACAGTATATTAAAATAATTTTTTTGTGTAAAATATACAATGTCACATAAACTTTTTTACACGGCCACATTAACATATTTCTTTTTTCTTCCCTCTTTCTCATTCCATTAACGAGTCAACTCTATATTAAGTAGGTTTGTAAAAATTATGTGGGAATCTAGCCATGATATTGATTGGTTGTTATTAGGGAAAATATATTTTTACACAAAATGTATAAAACAATGGTTGGAACTAAAAATAAATAATTTAAAATTTTTATATAAAATTATTATGACAGATCAAATTTACTAAAAAATAAATATATACACAACAGTTGGAGATGTTCTAATAAAGTAAAGTGGTAAAAGAAATAAAATTTTCCATCCCAAGAGCATCTCCAACCATTATGTATATTTTTTTGTGTAAATCTGATATGTCATGATGGATTTACACAAAAATTTTGAATTATTTAATTTTAGCTCAAACGGTTGTTTTATCTCTTTTGTATAAAAATATATCTCCCAATAACAATCAACCATTTGTCATGCTAGGACACATACACATGCAAGGAGGCCCAAGATCCACATAACTTTTACAAACTTACTTAATAGTTGATTCTTTAATGGAATGAGAAAGAGGGATAAAAAAGAAAATATATTGATTTGGTCGCGTAAAAAAGTTGTGTATTTTACATAACCCTTCTACACATTGGCGATGTGGAAATATAGGTTAATAGACTACTAGAGATGAAAAAAATTTATACATTATTGGTGACAGTGTATATTTTACACAAAAAATTATTTTAACATATCGCTGGAGATGCTATAAAAAAAAATAATTTGAAAGAATATTTTAACAAATAATTGAGATTTAGTTGCTTGATGCCTATGTCTTCAATTTCTCAAAACTTTTGAAGTTAGAACCTATTGGCTGAACCTGAATACCTGAATAATTTCACAAATTTTATCTTATTAAAGTCAAATATTGTAGGGAAAAAAAATATATATATAGGCAAATATTGTAGACATTTAATGATTTCCTTTGAATTTTTTATAAAAAAAATTTCATATATAAAGAATTTCATACTTTATAACATGAAATAAAAAACCGTGTACACGTAGACATGAAAGAATCCAATCGAACAGAGAGTCGAATATTTCCATTCACGATGAAGTGGTGGGCCTCGAAAATAGAATTTTTTTAAAAAATATTACACAAAGGGCTAAAAAGAGGCGTCGGTAGCATTGAATTTTGGATGTTTTGGGCTATTTTTTTTATAATTATTTTACTATGGGTGACAAGTGGATGATTTCACTCACCTTCAAGTTGCACTTATTAAATTGGAGAATTAGGTAAAGAATAATATTATATAATTTTTACTATAAATAGTACAGTAGTATTAGCAAAAGCCACATGGGAGCTCTGTCATGGGGCACAAGTGTCAAATGGCATTACGGCACGGTCACCAATGACCATCGGCAAAATCAAGTAGATTATCAAAATCTTGTTAAAAATTTAAAAAATTATTAGATGAAAAGAGAATGAAAAAATAAAAAAAAAAAATTGGCAATTCACAGACTGATTATGCATTATTTAATCTTTTACTTTGGGAAAATGATTTTTCAAAAGTACTTCGGTACTTTTGTGCGTTAATTATATTGCTCTCTATTTAAAAATCAACAGTTGTGTAGGGATAACTTGATGTAATTTGAGACCTTAGGTGAAAAATAAAAAGTGGCATTTTATATCATAATTTATAATATAATTGGACCATTTTAAAATAATAAATTTCTTATTTTTGTATCAATATTTTGTCATTGTCCATGATCATATATATTTGTGGGAATAAAGTATGATTTTTTATTAAAATTTTTATTTTTCTTACTTGTTTCACTTTATTTCAATTCCTTTTATTGCTCTTCATTATCACTTGAATCAAGTCACTAGTGTCTTTTTCTTTCCCTTCTAATTCTTTTAGATGACTTGGTTGTTCATTTATTTAATTTTCATCTAAATTTTTTGTTAGGTTTTAATTATTAGTTGTAGCAAATTCATCAATAGCACTTTTTGAGATTGAATAAATTTATTTATTCTTGTCTTCCTTCTAAGTTTTTCATATCCCATTCATACTTCTTGATAGACACGTTCAACAATATAAATACAAATAGTCACAATTTACAAACAAAATATATAAATATGAGAGAAAAAATATATACACAAATTTATAATAACAAAAGTTAAGAAAATTAAAAAATAATTAGAGAAAATGAACAATAGAATTTAATTTAAAAAACCTCACTCCAATGTTCCTACAAATTCTTCAAGATAAAAGTGCAATCAAATTAAGTGTTATAAGTATTAAACGGAGAATAAATATAACCACAAACTTGTATGAGAAGAGAGGAAAGAGAATATTTGTTGAGAGAATGGGAGAGTACTTGTCTGGGCGCGGTGAGCAAAGGTCTAGCAATTCACTGTGCTAGAATCATTTCCTTTAAATATTTATATTGCCTAAAGTAGTGTTAAAAAGAACGTAAATGATGGAGGATGAGGGAGAAATGAAAAAGAAAAGAAAAAGTTATTTTAGTATATAAATCTTTAGACCGGTTAAAAAATATATAAATTTGTAAGCTTAACATGAATTTTTTTTTAGTGTTTAATAATATTATAAAATAATGAGAATATAACTAATATAAACAAACTTATAAAATTTGAGACATTCTTATTCGCCAGGCCTTAAGGCAACCCCCTAAAGGTTCAGCCGCCGTTATGTAAAATAATTTCTAAAGATTACAACAGGGATTATTACATATAAATAGTATTAATGATCCATATTTACCATTTAATGGAGTCAAAGTCTCATACTTTTTAAAAAATTAAGATATGAAAAAATACTGTTCACTTTTTGCGCATGCAGGTATCACTTTTTGTGCATGCAGGTACCACTTTTTGTCATTAGGTATCACTTTTTATTTTGCACAAAAAAAATAGTACCGATACATAAAAAGTGGTACTTATGTGTACAAAAAGTGGTACTTTTATACTAGGGTTGTAACTTGGGTAGGTTGGGCGGGTTTGAGGTATAACTTGAGTCCAACTCACCATACGAAATGCTAAACCCAAGCTCACTCCTTACCCTATCATCAACCTTAACTACTCAATTCAAACCTAACTCATTCTTCTACTTTTAAATTTGGGCTTGCAACCCGGGCTTAGGTTCCAGGTAAAAACTTCAAGTTAATTCGGGTCACTCTTATGGCTAATCCTTACACCAAAAATTTAATATGATCTTGAATTAATTTTAGATTAAATTACACCTAAACAATAAAAAGTTTAAAGATTTTTTGTAGATTTTTAATTAATTACAAACAAATTTTTAGAAAATTAATTCTCATAAATATTAACATACAATAAGTTAATATTTAACAAAAGAAACTGAAAAGATAAAAAAAAAAGTAATCATAGTTTAAATATTATATATAATGTATTTAAAAGTAAAAATATATATATAAATAATATTAGAATTCAAGTTCGGGTTAATTCGGGTTGGTAACCCTTCAATTCAAGTCCAACCCTAATTAAATTTGGGTTGAGATTTTTCAACCCAAGATCAACCCTAATTGTAAATATGATTGCCCAAGTCGGTGAAAAATCGGGCTGGACTCGGGTTGGGTTTGGGTTACCCAACCCAAGTTGCACCCTTAATCTATACCCAAAACAAAAGTGGTACCTCTATGCAAAAAAAAAAATGGTACATATGTGTCTAAAAGAGGTATCTCAGTGAGGGTAAATAATATTTTTTCATGTCTAAGTCAGCATTTTAGTCAACTTCATTTTTTAAAAATTATGAGACTTTTGGCTTCATTAAATAATAAATATGGGTATCAGTACCATTTATATGTAATAATCCCATTACAAAAAGTAATCTAAGACTAAAAAAACTCATCCATCACCTTTAAGTCGAAGGTTTTGCAACCTTTGATTACATGAAAATTGGACTAAGTAAATATCACATTCCCAATTTAAAAGACGAGAAGCTTTCAGCTCGGTTAATTTTGTTGTGGGTTTAAGCATTTTTTTTTTTCGATAAATACTATCAAATATCTATATATAATGAGACAATACTTAAAACTTTATGTGAAAAAAGACGGCCTTTAATAACAATAAAATAAAAAATATTGTAGAAACAATAAGAATTTTTCTATAATTTTAGTCGTCAATTTTAAAAGTTATTATGTTTATAATACCAAAAAAAAAAAAAAAAGCCCCAGAATTTAGGAAGAAAAAATACAAACCCTAGACAAGCAATGTTTAAACTTTAAAGGAATTTGATATGGAATTAGTTGTGAATTGTCCAATAGGCCCATAAAAATAAAAATAAAAATAAAAAAAGTTCACTAAAGCTTTTCTTATCCCAACACATGGAATTGACCAATCATGCATCGAAACGCGTCCAAAATATTTCTCATACCAATAATGAAAGATGTTATCTTCAAACATTATATAATATAAAAGCAAGTGACCACATTGATATTATATTCAAATATTATACTCCGTATAATTTTATGATAATATAATAAAAGCAATAATTATGCTTCCACGTTGCACTGCTTGAAGGACCACAGTTATTAATAAAATATTAAACAGTAAACAAAATAAAATATAGTGAATCGAGTTAAAAAATATTTACTAACAGGTGTCTCTAATCCATTTGAGAACTAATTAAAAAATATTAACTACCCCGACAATCAGATAAAATATATTTTAATTAGCAAATAACTAGGGAGGTGTCAACGTGGTCTGACGTGTCATGTTTCTTATCCAACGAAGCGACGCGTGGAATCTTAGATCTGCGCATCAAGCACCAGTTTAATTACTGATCAGATAAAGATCACAGAGAAAATAAAATAAAATATAATAAAATATAATTTAATTAGCAAATAACTAGGGAGGTGTCAACGTGGTGTTACGTGTCATGTTTCTTATCCAACGAAGCGACGCGTGGAAACTTAGATCTGCGAATCTTGCACCAGTTTAATTACTGATCAGATAAAGATCACAGAGAAAATATATATATATATATATATATATATATTTTAACATTATCTATATTTGTGCATCTTCAGTCATATTTATAATATAATAAAATGAAAGGCAAAAATATTATCCAAGGCCAATTCCAATTCAGTTCCAAAAAAACAATCGCTTTGCGGTAGGGGTGGCGCCAATGGGTTAGTTCAGGTCAAATCTAAGGTTTTAATATTTTAATTCGTGTCAAGTTCAAAATTTCAAATATTCATTATATTTTAACTCGTGTTATAGCATGAGTTTCACGAATTTTTTGAATTTCTTAAATCATTTTAAATTTTAAAAATTTATAAAAAATAAAAAATTAAATACTAAAGTATAAAGCGATATAAACTTGACACAAATAAAACTTCTCATATTATGCCCCAAAGACTATCAAATTATGTGCAATATGATGCTATAGAAATGATTTATAATTTCTAATAAAAGATGTATTAATCATTTCAAGTTTCAAGACAATTAACATGGTTTAAAAAGATCAAAGAGTCTTTGACCTAATGGTATAACTTCCTCATCTTCAAAAAAGAAGGGAGGGACATGGACAAAAAAATGTGTGTTTTTATTTTACCATCCAAAAAAAACACGGTTTAAAAAGTTCCCATAATAAAAACTTGGAAACAACTCAATAGTTGATATTCTTTAATATTTTGTTTCCTAAATTAAAATTCAATTATTATAAGTTTTTCCTTTATAAAAATAAACGTGTCACAGTAACAAAGTTAGGTGAATATCATGAATTTAACTTTATTTTACTTATAGTCTTATATAAAAATGGAGTATAAAATATCGTTGTATTTCGGGTTTCTTGAGTTATTAAGATTTTTGCCCAAAACCAGCCCAAAATAAATTCGGGCCCCAAAGTTTAAACTCAGTCCCATCCTATGGTCTCAAATGATCTTGCCCATTCCCGTATAACTTTGGGCGGGAGTCGGGTTACTCGGGTTAGACCCACCCGACTCCCATCCCTATTTTGCGGTAGTGGGGAACAGTTACAGAGCCATAATATTATTATAGAGGGGCTTTACTGGAAATTCAATAAGATATTATTAAAATTTTAGTGAAATTCTAGAAATTTAATTCAAATAAAAAGAATTTATGGGGGAAGAATACCATTCAATCCCACTAAGCCCATAGTTTAAAAATTTTAGTATAAAAAATGAAAAAATGAAAAAAAAAAAAAAATGAATAGGAATATGTTTAGGTATATGTATATATATATACATTTAGAAACTCTACCACACATATGCTAATTTTCATATCTCTTTGTATATATTCATTTCAATAATATAAAAGATTAATTAAGAAAGTACAGTGTTGTGGAGAGATTGATGATTTTCGAACATTGAAGAGTTTGTAAAAATTAATAGTGTAGAAAATTTTAGAAAATTTGTAAATATGTATATATTTAAGTGAAAAATTATTTAAGTGAAAAATTATGGTACTTAAATATTAACCATCCTACCCTTAAGGAGGAAGATGACTATATATATATATATATACACAAGTAGGGATGAGATTTGTGACAACTAACCTCCCAAAGATAAGAGTTACAAGTTATACCCAAAATAAGAGTAGAAGTTACAAGATTGAGTGAATGGAATAAGCAAAAGTTTAAAAAGAATAAAACACCCTGCCATTATATATCCAGAGAAAAATGAGATAAGAGACCACTCATTAACATGTCTGAATCATGGCTATATATAGTAACTACTGTAGTATATAGTATATTTATTATTTTCACTTTAAAGTATGAAGAGTTTTAACTTAAAGGTTGCGGTGATAGAGGATTATGTTGACTATGACATAATAAATCAATTAGGTTCCATATTTTCCAAAAACAAATTAGGTTCCATTCATAAATTCCTATATTTAACCTAACTATGTTAAACATAATTCATATCTCAAAAAACAATGATCGTTGATCACTTTAATGGTCCAACCATGTAGCATATAAGTGCAGAGTCTTTTACTATGAACCACATTGAAAGCAAAAATCTACCACCATGAAATTGGTTTAGCTGTTCCATGAGGTTAGGATCATTGTGGCCATATAATAAGAGAATGACTGGTGAAATCACTGGTCAAGTCGTGCGGGTCTATTTCTTAGTTCAAGATCCCTCTTACTAACTGGAATCAAAGAATTAGTAGATCCGTTCCGCCCAAAATGGGAATGGGCTAGGGTTATGAACTTATAATCATGGAATCGACTCGATCATCAGATTATAGATTATAAGTTCATTCCATACCGGACCAGACCGGAATATGAATTGGGTAAGTGAAAGATGGAGCTTGCCAAACCTATAATCCCCCACTCTCAATCTCATCAGACCGGAATATGAATTGGGTAAGTGAAAGATGGAGCTTGCCAAACCTATAATCCCCCACTCTCAATCTCATCTGATGTTCCGGTGTGGGAGTAGTAACCTTTCCGCTCGTGGTCTTATTGATCTGATCGATTTCCCGTCGGTCTAGCCACATTCAGAAGTTGCTGAATCCAATGTGTAAAATCAAACATCTGAAGTGAAAGCAACCATTTCGGTTGCAATAATGGTAGAAATGGTCGACTTGTGTTGATAAAGTGGGTGGGATCCAGTGAATAATGGTTGGAGTGGCGGACTTGTGTTAATAAAATAAAGTGAATGGGATTCACTGTTGATCTTATCCGGTTTATCAAATGGATAAAAATTTCTTCCCCTATTCTTTGATTTAAGAAATAAGTCTAAATAATATTCTCTCTTCTTTTACAAATGAAACTGTTATAAATGCAATGCATCGAATGGTTTTCAAAATAAATGAAACTGAGATGAGATGAGTCTCGCGTTGTGTTCACTGTGAATGTCTGAAATACAACTTCATTGTAATGATAGAGAAATATAACTCCAACATTGTTTCACCTCTCCCATCACATTGCAAGCAAAAGAAAACGAAAAGAAAAGATATGGGTAATTTGAAATAGATTAAATTATATAACCAAAAATTTCCAAACATTTTATAAAAATTAACAGAAAAAGAAAAATAAAATAAAATAAAAAGAGATTCAACATTAATGTTACATGCACATTGCTCACCAGTACATACCAGTGATACAACTTCAATATATTTCTTTCCATCTTTAGATTTCTTTCCTGGTTTTACGGCTCTTGGCTGTTTACACGGCTGTGAAGTTCCAGCATCTCTTGATGGTTGGGGTCAACTGAAAGGGCAGCTCGACAGTCTCGCAGAGCACCAAAAACGTCACCAATATGCTCGTGAAATGCAGCCCGCAAGTGTAGAAGGTGAAGGTCTGCTTTGAATGCGATTGCACTGGATAGTTCAGCTATGGCTTCCTTCTCCTTGTGGTTGTCCATCAGCACTGTCCAAACCAAAAGATCCAGTTTCAATAAGCTAATGTATACATAAAGGGATCCATAATAATTAGCTGAAGAAGAACCACTACAAAATATTTGAACACTCTTTAACTACATTAGCTACGTTATCTCTAAAGAACTTTTTCGTAGACATGATAAACAAAATTGATATGGCAGCCAGCTTCATGCACGTACTTAGTTAAAATAAAGGATGGTCTGATGACCTCGAATTTATATTATTCATGACTTGATTGTATCGCTAGCCAGGGATTTTTTTTTTCCCCCCTGAAGAAGTGGGAGGTGAAATTCTCCAATCAGAAGCTCCAGCATTATCTGATCTAGAATGAATACAAGTATATAGACAATATACTCAGCCTACTGTCTGGGACTTGGGAAGATGAAGACTTCAAATATCAATTTTACAATAATATCATAAAAACGCAGGGAGTCAGAAGCACATGAAATCTAACCAGAAATAGATTTCTTTTGTTTTCTTGTGTTTGTCTGTTTGTTAGGAAGATAATTGGGAGGGCGTGGGAATGAAAAAGAGGTCAACAGGGAAAACACTATATTTTAATAGGAATAAGCATATGATGTCACTCCAGAAGCGTTAAACCATTTGAAAATCCCAGGAATAGATGGAGAATTATTCACGCTACTTGTATATAGCTAAAAGTTTGCAAACTACAGATATAACTTATTACATACAACACACATAAGGTCATAGAGGTTTACTCTTTATTGCTGACTAAGAAAGAGAATAAATACTAGTAACTTGTATGCAAGTTTTTTTGTTGTCACTTTGATGAAAAAGTAAATTTTTTCTATTTTTACTACCAATTTCTTCCATTAGATTCATCTTTTCCTATAACTTATCGGCAATCATTAGAAGAATTGCCAAGAAGATGATTGAAGCTTGGGACACCTCATTAAATTCAGAGACAGGTCGCAGCGCTTCAAGCAAAACCATCAATAGGTGGGTTGTGCACTAGTGCAAAGGTGCTACGCAGTTGCATATCTCCAGAGTTCAAAGAACCCTCACTCCAGACCAACAGAAGTCCACTTTGCCGGAGACTAATGTCTCATGCATGCTTGACATCAGCATCATTTAGATAGCATAAAAGTTTACACAAGTAAGGGAAGTGAAGGAAAATTTTCTAACCTGCAGCTCGATATCTGTAAGGGTAAACACGGAGGGGATCCAAACAAGTGACCATCTCTAGATCTGCTTTTGTGCGTTCACGTTCACAGTACTCTGACCTCTTCTCATAGGCAGATGCATTGTTCTGAGCCTTTTGAATCAGTTTTGTCATTTCCTCGTAGGCAGCATTCTTATCATTTCTGAGAAAATGGACCCGGGCAAGGCCCTGATGGGCTCGGGTGTGCCGAATTTTAAGGGCATTGATGTAGCAATCAGCTGCCAAGTCTAGATTCCCACGGTCAACATGAACACTTCCAAGATTGTTCAAAGCCTGGCAAAAGAAAACAAGGATCAGAAGAAAGTTAGACAATGTTGGAAATCTAAGTTCTAATTACAATTATATATACATCATGTGAGAAGCTGATGGAAGTGAATATGTGATCACCATTCAACAATTTAACTATTTGACTGGCTAGCCACACATTGGTGAATTACTCTTAAATAATCACTTCTAGGACTACCAGTCAGTTAACTCTACGCAGTCCTTGTTTGTGTTTTTCCCCTTCAGCCTCACTATTCAATTTTAAATGTTGTCACTCTGCAATTACAGCATTTGGTAAGCTACATGTAGTTTAGATTATCACCTATATCTGAACAGTTGTGGTGGAAAGAATGTTCAGGATTGATGAACAAATAGATCACCAGGATCTTGTTCAATATTGTAGCTGAAATAGCAAATAAACACAGATTTTAGAATATAATTTCCTCGATAAAGAGGAATAATCAAATCACTTGCCATCACATGAGCCCAGGTTCATATCGATAGAAATTGAAATCATGATGACAGGACGCGGGTGACACCTGGACATACATATATCCCAGCATACCAAGTCATAGTTATGTCACAGAAACAGGCTTTCATAAAAAGACCCTTCGTGATTTTAAGCCATTTAAGAAATTGATGGCAATAATATTTCATAACTCAACCACAAAATTCTCTCCGTTCTATATTATTCAGACAGAGTTTCTCTTTTCAGATCAACAAATACAACATAAAAGAATCCCTTACTCTGATGCCACTGCGAGAAGGATACATTTGATATAATACATACAGGCCTTAACATCATAAAGTTAGGCCATAATAGGCATCTTTCGGTGGATAATTGGAGAGAGTCTAGATGCAAGGAGTTTCCCTACTTTACCCATTTTTCACATACTAAGAAGCATGGACACTACTATGGAGGTGCCATGTTCATGTCCGGTGCCGTGTCGGACACCGACACTCCATGGACACTCTTACACACGTGTCCGACACTTTGTTGTCGTGCCCATTATTTAAAAATAAATTTTATTATTTTTGACACTTGACCGGCACATCTCAGACACTTGGTCAACACATTCTAGACACTCAACCAACACATCCTACACTCTTTATCCAATATAAAATAAACGCACGGTAGTCCTGAAAATAACATTACAAACATATATCAAATGTTCAACCTCTAAAGGAAGAAAAATAAAACTATAATAAAGTTCAATGATTGTATCATTCAATAGATATAAATGAAATTTTATACTTATGTTAGCCGTGTCCATGCCATGTCTGTGTCCTACTGTTTTAGAATATTACGTGTTGACGTATCCATGTTGTATCGTGTCCGTGTCTGTATCCATGCTTCTTATATCACATATGAACTCCAAACAGAAAATCTGGTCTTCTTTTCTTTCTTCTTCCCTTTTCTTTTTCGATAGATAGAAAGGTTTTGACTTCTTAAAATTAGTTTGTATCATTTTTACTTATTAAAAAAAGAAAAATAAATATAAGAAGAAGAAACATCTTATACATTTTACAAGCAACATAAAATTGAAAACTGGGGCGCCTTTGACAGTCCACAAGGCGAATCCTACTGTCAGAATTACCTATCTCAATATTTAGTTTCATCAACAAGCACATAGAAGTGCTATGCCACTATCTGCACATGTGGTGACTTCTTAGAGTCAGTACTGGCAGATTGAAACAAAAAAACTCTCTCCATTTGAGGTATAGGGGAAGCAGTAGTTGACATCCTATTAAGACCAATAATAAAGACGTACATATTCAAGCTGATGAAGTGGCCAAAGTTATCATGTAATGAAGTTCAATATATCAGTTAACTACTTCAGTTTTACTTTTGAAATGCTCAACTTATATCAGCTAGTGTATGGTATTATACCGATAACACCCGAGGAAACTTCTTTTCAAAGTGAAAAACTAGGCCAACTAACCAACCAATGTGAATGGAAGGTGAACAATATGCAATGCTGAGACGACACCATGTAGACCCCACACGAATACATCTATTGGTCACTTTATTGTCGCATTGGTTGCCTGATTTACTTGTTTCAGCATGACCGACATTAACAGTAAATGTTGATGAACATGTCCCAAAAATCTCGTAAGGCAGTTAGTTTCTTCTGAACAATGTATGCTACTTTTATATACAAATGCCAACATCTACTTGGAAAGGAAGATCACATACAAGGATAAGATATGCCATATATTTCTTTAGCCATAAATAGGCTAATGAATGAACAGTCGGAACAACTTGGCCTTGGCTCGTCAAAGTCTCAGTTCGTGTTCATTCATAAAATAAACAAACTCCGCTCAAACAGCCTCTGAACTTGTTTTTGAACTAGAACAATGGTAGGCTTGGATCGTTTGGCTTATGAACACGTCTGATAGGGTTACATTCTAGTTTTAAAAAGTTCCATACCAGTTTATTGATCAAGAATGTAATAAAATATAAAATTATCTATGTTTCACGAGATCACGAGTTGAGCGGATAACAAGTCCAATTTGAGCTTAACCTAAGCCAAGAATTGAACAAACCAAGCTCAAAGAATCTTAAGCTTGGCTCAGTTGGTTCATTTTGCAGCTTTAGCCATAATACTATGTGGTAAAATGGTTTGCACTATAACTTCGATGATATCCGCCAAACATTATAGGATAAAATAAACTCAATTTCTAGCCCTTTCTTTTATCTTCCTCGCCCCCACCCTTTTGGGTGAGTTGGGGTTGTATGTAACTATCTAGTTTTGACCTTCATAATGATCATTTATTTAATGCTAAAATGTTTTAGCTCTGGGAAATAGGTTCTGAAATGTTCTCTGAGAACCTATTGGTTCCTTCATCCTTGAGGCCCTGGAAATGTTCAACCCTAAATACATTAGGCGGATTTCTTTATAATTTAATTGATTTCTTACTCTTTACTGCGCTGATGTTTGTGCACTTGATTTTCAACAAAATGTTGGTTGCCTAATGCTGTGACAAAATATTTTGTAGCTTGGATTTTGAACATAAAGGGTTCTCCTCAACTATCATCTCTCTAGCTTTTTGTTAGTAATAAAGTCAATTATCATGGGAATCAAAATCCTTTTTTTATTAATTTTGTTCCAGTAAAGCATAAGTTGAATTCTACCATTTTGTCGGTGTTTAGCTAGAGTTTCTGATAATAAAGGTATTACATGTAACATCTTAATAGATCTTGGGAGAAGGCTGAGGTGGGCTTGTACAGAGAGAGAGAGAGAGTACTGCTGATTGGGAGCAGTCGAGAATCCCCAAGGAGACCACTATGTTTTCTCAACCTGAGAGATGACAGGAGGGATTCTCCCTCTTTATAAGAGTCCAATAGTGTGAAAGGATGTTTGTGTTAGTTGGCTCATGTAGCAAAGCACTTGACAGGTGGAGATACAAGCAAGACACAGGAGAATATGTGTAGGCGAGGCAAAGAAAGAGCCGTATGACAAACATGTGTGGCAGAGAACATGGCGTCTTCCTCTAAAATTGGACAAGTTGCGACCCTGTGACTGGCATCACATTACACCTAAGAAAACCTTGAACCTCAACAGCCAAGCTATCAAACCCTTAATATCATCTTGGGGACTGTGATGCAACCCAGAGGTCACAAGACTCACAACACACCCTGTGCAGACCTTGATGAAGCGACCTCGGGCCCACTTCAAATTCAGGAACATATTGCATCCATTAGGGTGCATGAGCCCTGTAGATTACTTGGGTGGGCAAGATGTTGTAAAGTCAGAAGATGAAAATTCAATATGGAGATAGGTGCAACATAAAATAATTAAAATTAGGAGAGTGCATGGTTATGGAGATAACGTAAGCCAGATGCGAAACTCTGGGTGTTAGAGAAGTTTGCTCTCGTCACAATTGAGCAAGGGATCGCATGCCCTAACCTCCCAAGGGACCAACATGCCACACTTTGATGTGGTTCCCAAGCAAGGATATATATCACAAGTTCCAATTAAGTTGAATCACAGATTCATAGGATATATGCTCATAAAGAGATTAATTGATGGCAATCATTGACATTGTCAGAAAGGTGCCATGTGAAATGGTCATTATAGACACACCACTTGAGTGGCCGCATGCGTGATGTATTCCAGTACCCATAATCCCCTCTTTTTAATCAATAATAACCACTTAACGCATTTTTCTAAGAAGAACTTAGTTTGTTTCCGTATGTTGTTACAATGGAGGGGACACTAAATTTTATAATGGCTGGCTACATGTTGATTACCAGTTGTTGGATTAGCAGATAACTTCCCCTAATTCTGTAGTTGTGAGCAGTGATTTAACTCTTATTTTGATATTCCACTCGATCATGCATTACAGAAAATTGCATACGTTGGGAGTACTCCCCTTTTGAGCGCCTTTTATAAAATCTTACTTACCAAAAAATATATATATCTAAGTTTACCTTCCCTCCCCTATATCACCGTGTTCTGATTTAGCAGCTCCTCTATGCCTCTTGTGATTAGCAGTGCAACTCTGGTTGAGGGATCAACCAAGCTTAACCTAAGGTATAAAACCTTCAACCCAAGCAACCTAATCCGAGTTTCAACCCAAGCCCAACCCGCGCTCATTTTTTTTTTTTTACTCAGGTTAGAAAAATTGGGCCGAGAAATCAGGCTGACCTCGGGTTAGCTTTGAGTTGGGTTACTCCTATGCATAAAAATTCTAAACACTATATATAAATAGATAAAATTATAACCAAACTTTCAAGAAATTAGTTTATTCAGTTAAACACAAACCATAATCAGAATAACGGAAAAATAATTTTTATTTGTTGTACAAGACCCATTCACCTCCCCCCTTATAGGTCTAAATCAGTGGACCTTGTGCAACTTTGTATCAGATCCTCAGGTTCTGGTTCTTTATTGTTTCACGGACACACTTATCAAAATAAGGATCGGGTTAGACATAGGAAGGTCCAAAAATCACAGACTTACATACAAGCTTATATCATAAATATTATATATATATATATATAGCAATTGTAAATTACTACTCCTATTTCCACTAGAACTTGTATCAACTAAATCTAGTTGAATGTGGATCAACTAGAACTTGGAGCCAGTTCCAAACTAGAATATACTAGGTGGGTTACCAGAAGCAGGGCAGACCACAAGTTCTTTTCAAACAGACTCCAACTATTAAGGACTCAATGTGGAAAGTCTTAGGACAGAGTCAAGACTTGGCATCTAAGAAGCACGGACAAGGATACGGGACACGGATACGACACGACACGGACACGGCGACACGGCAAATCCAAAAAAATTAGGACACGGACACGGCGAATAGTATATATATATATCTATATATATATATCAGCATTAATAATTTAAAAAAAAAAACACTGATATGTTTAGGTTGGAATATATATATATATCACTGATATGTTAGTATATATATATATATCAGCATCTTTAGGACACGGACACGGCGAATTGTGGCATCTTTAGGTTAGTATATATATATATCGGCATCTTTAGGGTAGTACAAAACAAAAAATAGAACATATCAGCATTAAAAATTAAAAAAAAAAAAAAAAAAAAAAAAATCCAGAAAAGTGTATCCGAGCCGTATCTGAGCCGTGTCCGAGCTGTCTGAGCCGTGTCCGTGGCGTGTCCGAAAATTTAAAAAAATAAAAAAATTCCAGACACGTTTTTTGGCGTGTCCGACACGTGTCAGGGCGTGTCCGAAGCGTGTCGGACACGGATTCTTCGACCATTTTGGAGTGTCCGTGCTTCCTAGCTTGGCATGCTCAGTGATAAAAACTCACAAAGATCATAATCAAAACTGATAAAATTTGGTCATCAAATTGAGTCACAAACTTAGTTGTTCAAGATTGAAGAATTTGTGATTTGAAAGTGAAGGTGGATATGCAAAGTACTTCATCAAAATGAACTGCTTTTTCAAAGGACTGTATATTAGGGGTGGCAATTTATGCCAAACCGCGCTAACCTGCCCAAACCCGCCCGCTAATCAAAGAATTTTGGGTACCTTTTTTTTTTCACAACCAATCGTGACTTTTGTTGCTCTCTTTCACCACATCCCCATCCCGACAACTTATGTTACCTGGACTCGGGTATGTGTGTCGGACACGGGTATGTATCCACGCATCAAACGTGTTAAATCTCTAAACAAAAAGACACATGGACATTGCTAAATATTCATTTTACTTAATTATTTTATTTTGTTTGCTAGAGTAAAGTAATGTTTTATCTAATATAGTGTTCAATATAGGCATTTAACTCATTTTAAATTAATAATATAATATAATTGAATGATTGGATATGGTTCTAACTACATGTCCACCCAAAAGTGTCAGACACATATCCCATGCCCATGTCCGAACAATATGTGTCTGACATGGGTACTTCACTACTTTTGACGAATCCATGTAACATACTCGACAACCACGACCAGTCAACCACAAACCCCATCCGCACCCCCACAACCACTACCATCCTCACCCCCAAACCACCGCCACCATCTCCACCCCGATAGGCACCATTAAAAGGACCCATTACCCACAACCAAAATCCACAAAAAAGAAAAAAAAAAAGAAAAAAAAAAAAACAACCACCACCCATCCAACACCACCATCGACGCCGGCGATGTACTTTGCCCCGATCTATTTCACCAGAACTGTGTACTATATTGACCTTGTGATAACCTAGATTGGTGTCACTGGAAGCCTAACCTGGAGGATTGTCGCAGGTGATTCTTTAAGTTCATGGCGATGACTTGGCTGATCACGGCAAGGGTTGTCTGATTTATTCATCACAGCCGGAATGTGGTGGTGGTAGCAGAGACAGGAGCAAGTTGACAGAGTGTGTTGGTGGTGGCGATGCCGGTACACATCGGCTTAGTGATGGTGGTGGCGGTGACAAGTTATTTATGGCGGTGGCGGTGGCAGTGGCAGTGGTGGTGGCAGGTCGGTGTTTATAAAGGCAGTTTGAGAGAGATAGAGGACGTCAAGAGATAGAGAGAGAAAGAATAGGTGGGTGCTGGTAGTAGAGACAGGAGCAAGCTGACGGAGTGTGTTGGTGGTGGTGATGCCGGTACACGTCGGCTTAGTGATGGTGGTGTTGGTGGCGATGGTGGTGGCGGTAACGGCAGTTTGAGAGAGAGAGAGGACGTCAAGAGATAGAAAGAGAAAGAATAGGTGGGTGGGGTGATGAAAAGGTTTTGAAATTACAATGATGTCCATGATTTTTAATGAGCTGTCAAATTTTAATGGTTATTTCTGTCCAATAAAAATGGGGACTTCCCCCTGTATTTGTGTGTGTGTATATATATTTTGCAGGTGAATTGTATTTGTTAATTGATTAGGTGGATGATGTTTGTTATTATAGAATTGCATATGTTTGTTGTTGTAGAATTGTAAAGTCTGGTGGATGAACAAGAGAAAAAAGGGAGGGAAATCCTTAAAAAAAAAAAAAAAAAAAAAAAATTTTTTTTTTTTATGTTTTTTCTTTTATTTAATACAGATTTTCAAAGGTTAGTTAGATGAGATAAATGACACAAGGTTGAAGTTTTTATGTTTTAAAATCGGATTAGAATTTTTTGGTTGGATCCAGGTCGACCCAAATTCTGATCATTGGGGCAGGTATGAACACATCTGCTTGCTCAATAACTGAATAATTTGTGGCTAAAGAAAAGTTTGAGTCATCGGGTTGAATACGGGTTGACCAGCCCATTTAATACCCGACCCCATTTATGAACCGCTATAAATGGGTTGTTAGCGGGTTTAGGACCCGCCCATTTATAAGCCATCCAATTGCCACCCCTACTGTATGTGCACACTGGGTAAAGTAACTTAGAGAATTATGGCCTAGGTGACTGGTGACTTTATTATTTGGACCAAAGTATGACATCATTAACCCACTTAATAAATTGAGTAGGTACTGTTCTGGATCCAAATTTTACGAGAACCAATTTGATGTGATCAATAGCTACTCGATTGATTGAATTGAGAATCCAACTAATCAATACAGATTGATCAAACTAGCATTGTGAACCAAATGATTGATGATAAGAAGCCTATTGACTGATTGAGCTTTAATTTTCCCAACCAGTCAAGCATGGCAAGATTCTGGTAGGTACAAGATTTCATAACCAGACCAGTGTCTTATTTATTTTTATTTTTTTCCAAATTACACAAGCCTTTCCAAAAACTACAAAAAAAAAATGTAGTCTAGATTCTCGAAATAAAATGAAAATAAGGAGCAAAATGGCTTACAGAGGGAAGTAATATATGAGATTAATGAACATTTTGATTTTTAAATAGCCTGGGTTAAATTGTTACACCATTGTTGAACAAAGCCCTTTACATTTTCTTTTTCTTTCTTATGATCTTCTTTGTGATTTCGCCTCTTGACTTTTTCCTTAGATTCTTGAAGTTGTGTAATCAAGCCATTCAAAGCTTACAAGCATATATCAAAAGATTGTTCAACACCGCTCCGTTCACGGTAATGAGTGCATGGTTCGTGAGAAACCGACTATTAGCTAGCAATCACTGTCACTAGATGGCAGGTCATGCAGAGATATTGGGTTTGACATGGATAGAAACAACTAGACTTGCAGCAGTGAGCGTGATCAGGAATAAAATTGCATGTCCGAAGTAAGGCTTTAAGTCTAGGATGACACCATAAGTGGCAATAAAGTTGTACATCCTCTACTTCTTCAGTGTGAGACTGCAAATGTTTATGTGGGATCCCCTGATTTTTCCCCATTGGGTTTCCACCTAAAATCTTGTGTCCTTTATGCTCTGCCTGGCTGCTTTTAATGGTTGGTTGATTAATTGTTCACTAGGAGCTCAATCCATAAAGATGAAAGATTCCATTTTGTGGTCTCACTTTGTGTTGACCAGAAGCGATTTAGCCAAATTACAAAGTTTTTATTAAACGAGACCTTTTCCTTCGCGCCAAAGCGTGAGGCTCTTTGAGGACAGGAATTGAGGTTTTTGATGGACCACCCCCCTGCAACTATGAAATGGAGTATCAAACTATAACGCTTCTTCCTTTTAAACTCAAGGACTTCCCAAAGGAAGGCTAAGAGCAAGAATCTCCCATCCACTTGTGAAAAAGCAAGGCGTCAGCAGGCGTACTTGAACAAGAATATAGGGTTCCATAAGTAGAGGGCTTTTTGGCTTCACTAAACTAAAGGGGCGAAGGATTCCCACACGAAAAAGTCCAACATAGGAAGCTGCGAGATCAATTTCATTCCATGTTGCAGAACGAAAGTCAATCGCTCAACTTGTACAAACTCTGATTTTGAGCATAACATGGAGGAATTCCCTGACTAGAGGAGTTATTTGGTCAATCAATAGGATTAATTGAATTGTAATTTGAATTGGCCAGTAATTAAGCATAAATTGAGTTGGCCTATTCACCCTCCTGGGGTTAGCCTAGTACACGAGGCTCCCGCCACCGCAAGGTCTGAGGAGGGTTAGACGTTCGCAACCTTACCTCTGCATGCAGAGAGGCTGCTACCCGATTTGAACCCGTGACCTTTAGGTCACAATGGAGCAACCTTACCGTTCCGCCGAGGCCCGCCCCTCACCTATTTACTCTCCTCTGAGTGATATATGATTCCATAAATCCTATTGTCATTTACAACTTATTTTTTATCACTGACAATATGCAGTAACCTTCTATTGGATAGCACAAGAATACCAGTTTAATCTTAACACAAAACACCTTATGTTTTTCAGCATATTATGTTAGTTGTCTTTGAATGATGTAACCTTGGCAACTTTAGGGTGATTGAAAAACCATACCTGCCCTTTGCGAAGCAGATCAGAGGGGCACCTTAAGGCATCTTCAAGAAGTGATACAACGGTAGATGAACAAGATGAATCTTGAATAGAATCAGCCAATGCATATGCTTTAAGGAAAAAGGCCTCAAAAGATCTCTTAAGGTTAATAGACTCCTCTGCCTTCTGCAGGCCTTCCTCACAATGACCCGTATCATATAAAATCCATCCTTCATAAACCAAACGTTCATATTCACTTGATGCATGCTGGCGAGCCAACTGTAAACTACGCATGGCTGCTTCAGGACAATTCAATCTGATCAAAGCATAAACACGAGATTAAACTTATAAAAAAAAAAAGCATAAACATTAGATTAGATTTTGACTAATTATATAATTGGATTACTAATGTCTTTCTATTGTTGATGTTAATACATATATTTTTGGTTAAGGATAAACACGGCTTACATTCCAAAAGCAGAGGATGCAAGTGGTAACATACGAAGCCTAAGAAGCTGACGAGGATAATTTTAAAAACCATATAAGTTCTGGAAACCTTCTGCAACGTCTCTATATTTATTCTAAACATATGTTATTGATTAAAAAGAAAAATTAGGGGAAGGCAAGCATAGCAATGAATTCGGGTTACATGAATTACTTATCTCTAAAAGGTATATCTAGGAGTAAATATAAATTTTGAAAATTTGCATTAACTAGGAGTCTTGAAGCAACAATAAATGGATCATTTAACAATTTATGCTGCTCAAAATATAAACAATTAACAAGTCCATGAACACTGATAAAACATAAATAATAACTATGGAGAATGCAAATTTTTTTCAATCGGCTGGCAAGAATAAGGCATAGTGCATATGTTGTACCATCTTTTGAGTAGAAAAAGATTCCAAACTCAAAATCATTATTGAACTTACATGCATGGTTGTGACATCCAGTCATCAATAGTGAGAAGAGCCCCTTATATTATAGGAAAAAGAAATGTTGCTATTTTGGATTCAGACAAAATAACTTAGTAACTTGCCAATAATTACTTCAGAACTTCTCAAATGGCTGGGACATTCTTAATAACATTCGGGATATTCATACATGATGACTTATACCCTTTTATGCTGAGAAACATGAATAATTCACATGGTTTTAAATAGCAAGCCAAGGAAATGACTACATCCTGAAAATTTTAAAGATTCTGAAACCTTAGAAAAGATTTAAGCAATTCATATGTGCAAAAGAAGAAAGCAAACTGAGACTTACCTAAGAAGAAGCAAAGACTGCCTGAAATATAGAACTCCTTTCTCTGCATCAGATTCAAGCATCTGGTAAATTACAGAGAGAGATCCAATATCATCAACTGAAGACCATCGATCATACAATTGCAGCCAACAATCTGCTGTTTTCCAATTTGTGATGTGTTCACGCACGAGAGTACGAAGTTGGGATGCTGCAACCCGTCCCTCAAACATTCTGTAATCCGGAGAAAGTGTAAGAATTGCCTGAACATCACAAATGGCTGCTTCATAGTTCTCAATTGCTAGATAGAAACAAAACCGGAGTTCCAAGCATTCTAATGCAAGTTTGAACCCAAGAATCCGATTTATTTCAGAAAGGGAAGCTTGAACATTTTGTTTCCTCATCAAGGATGCAGCCCGATACATGTAGGGGTAAGGAAGTGTTGGGTCCAATTCAGTTGCTTTCTCAAGGTCATCCCACCTCTTATCAGCATCACAGTATAGTGACCTTTCCTGATACATCCATCCGAGTGGAGTAAAGGCGGAAATTACAGAGGTAAGTTTTTCATAAGACTGAAGTTTATCGCCCTTAATGTAAGCCAGTCTGGCCAAACCAACAACAGAGTAAACATGGCCTGCATTTAAAGCAGCATCAAAGAGCTGTTCGGCTGCATCATATTCTTTCCTCAAAAGCCTAACACATCCCAATTGATGGTATGCCACTAATCTCTGCTGGTTAGTTTCAGCAGACTCTACTAACCTTTCCAAGAAACAAGCTGTTTTGTCTGATCTATGATCCAGGTTCAAGGCTACTTCACTTAACAAACAGTAGAGTGAAAATGAGGCCGGTCCTATCATGATTGATCTTTGTTGCTTACTAGCAATGCTTAATAGCTCAACTACCCGATTGTCATTTAGACTGTCTGGAAGTTCATGTAGAAACACTTGCAAACATGATGTAGCAAGGACAGGGGAATTCTCTTCAAGAGCATATTCCAACAGTTCCACTGCATCATGTCTGGATGAAACCAAAGAAGCGAGGCTCCTGTCACAAGCATCCTTGAGACTTTCGCAGCAAAATTTGTTAGCAAATACCAATATTTCTAACAAAAGGTGTTGGGGGACTTCACTTAAATTGCCCGTTAGGCTGAATTCATTGATAGCTCTCATACCCGTTGGTGAAATATTATTTTCAGACAAATCTATGTCCTCAAGTAGTGATTCTGTGAAACAACCATTTAGCATAGCATGAAATGGTGCTGACAAGCCTGCAATCTTCTGCCTGTCACATGCTATTTTCTCATCTCCAATTCGGAAAGACACGGTTCTTGAAATTTGATTCCCATTCATCGCAACAGCTCCGGTGGAACTCACATTAAAAACTGTGGGAAATTCAGAGGCAATGTCTATCTGTCCAAACTCCATCGCCCATTTACCACAAGAGGTAAGCAAGTCAGAGATGAGCTCTTCACCTTGCTTCTCATACTTTAACCAGGCCCCGAAGACAAGTTTCTCATGAACGGTGCTTGCCTTCATCCAAGCAGAGCGAAGGCTTCTTCGCATCAGCTTGACTTCTCCAAGACCCTTAAAGACCTGAAACTGCAATAAATAGAGATTCGACCTCTCGCGCGGAGAGCATGACTCAAGTTCTTCATGAATTTGGGCTAAAACTTCTACATAATTGACAGGTTTATAGAATGGAAGAATTTGTGGTTCAGGCACCTTGATGAGAGATTCTCTACAATATTAAAATAAATAAATAAAATGAATGCATATGTAAAATTTGATTTTCATGAAATTGGAAAAAAAAAAAAGTGTAGCTCTGCGAAAGAAATTTGAAAAGTAGAGCTTACATTGAAGAAGGAGGTTGTGATGAGAATTTGGAAAGCTTCCCTCTTTCAACTTGGAGCCATGACTGTGGATTGAAAGCATTGAGCTGTGTTTCTTTACATGTCTCGGAAGGAAAGAAAGTCCTCATGGGGCATAAGAGATTAAACAAGTCCCAGATCTCCAAACTAGCCAGATGGTTATCTCTCCAGCACTCAAAACAACAACACAATCGGCAACATAAACAACCCCTTTTGTTAACAAACACTACCCTTAGCCTACAAGACTCTTCCAACCCACCAAACAATGGAACTTCTACTATATATTCAAAATATATACAAACAAGCCAATACACCCAATCCCCAAATGGGTTTTTCTCTCTGAGTCAATAAAAGCCCAAATTTTTCACAAAGAAATGAAAAATAAAAATAAAAATAAATGTACAAGTTTCTGTAATCACAATCACCGAATCTGTGTTGCAAAAATGCTGGAACAGAACTTTGTATGCTCCAGTTTTTGCCCAACAATTAACAGATACCAGAAGCTATCGAGTACAAAAGCCAACAATATATAGGGCCAAAGACCCACCAAAAATAACGTAAGATCTCTACCAGAAATACAACCGAAACCACTTGAAGGCCACCGAATCTCCTAATAACAAACACATAGAGAAAACCCAAAAACAAGGAGAGAGAGAGACCCACTGACCTTGTTTGAAATTTAGTCAAAACAAACCCACTAATTTTCCGGCTTGAATTCAAAAACCCAAATCAGAAAATTGGGAATAGAGCTGCAGAGGAGCGTGAGATCAAAGTGAGGGAATCCGACGGAAAAATTCGGTCTTTCACTTTCCTTCTTTTGTTTGGTAAAAGGAAAAGTTTTTTCCTTTTCCCTTTCCTTTCCTTTTTTTTTTTGCCCTTTTTTTTTTATCTCTTCCCACTTTCGCTTCCCGTTGGAGGAGAGTGGAGACCAGAAAGATTTGCTGCTACTATTTGTTGAGAGCACCAAAACTACAGCTTAGAAAATTAGTAATATTCAACTGATTGATGATTTGGATTTGATTGTGAGAGAAAGCGACGGCGTTTTTGGTAGGGAATACTTTACGGCGTCGTTTTTGGATTGTTGCCTTGTCCCATCAAGAATGTCTCGTTGAATTTAATATTGAATTGCTATTATTGTGGGAAGAAATGCGGAATTGGGAGAAGTTTTGTGTGTAAATACTAGGATCAGAATTATATTATAGGTGGCAAATTCGCACTCGCGGGTTATTGTGTCGATCTGAAGAGTATTTTACTAAATAACTCCACTCGAACACTAATTTGACCTGTTCATTTTACGAGTTATATGTGTAACCCGTTTAATGACCTAATTAATAAAATTAAATATTATATTATTTAAATTATTAATAATGCTTAATTAAACAATAAATACTACTAGTAGAAATATACCGTATAAGTTTCAATCCAACCAAATTACTAATAATTTCTAATATTGTAAAATATAACTTTAGATAGTTATTTTGGAATATAAATATAAATTTGTTTATTTGGTATAACACAGGTTATACGGATTAAATCCCTCAATTCAAGCACAACACGATTAACTAAACGGGTTAATCGGATTAATAGTGTCGATCCGTTTATGACCTGAACCCGTTTAAAGTTAATACAAATCTGCTTAACTTATGTTATATTCAAGTCGTATTAACGGATCGTATCAAACTTTGCCACCTTAAAATTATGAACCCAATTAGATTAATATACTCTTTACACCTCCTAAATAATTAAATTGGATTGGACTCACTTGAGCTATAGCGAACAATAAGTAGAAGAAAGATTGTGAAAACTGAGTCAACCATTTTGATTTTTGGAGTTGAATTTTTAAAATAACATGGTTAAGTGCGGAAAAAAAACTATTATCCCAAAGCTAACAAATGCGTATGCAACTTTTCATGTACACAAAACACTCTTAACACATTGAGTTGATACAAATGATATATAATTTGCGTATCTTTTGTTTGATTACACCAACATCTTCATTATTTTTGTACTGGGTTTCAAACAACTGCAAACCAAAAACTCTGCAAGTTAATAAGAACTTCGTCCTTTTTTCTATTGGTTTCCAAAAACTGTAGATGAACAACTTCATTATTTTTAAGAAAAATTTATATAACGGGTACGCCCATTGACGCTTGTACACTCACTTAAGCCTTCTTCCTTTTACTATAATGACTGCCTTATAAAAAATAAAAACAAGGTGGGGTGTTATGAATTAACTTGAAAATTTCATCATTTTTTCAACTTGTATACATTTTTATTCATGAACCTCATTATGGGTCAATTAAACATTAAAAATAAGGAATCAACATGTTGGGTATAGAAGGACCCATGAAATGCAATTTTATTTTATTATTCTAATATTTTATATAATAAAGACAATTTCGGTAAGTAGAAATATTTTCTAGTAACTTTCATGCTATCCAAATTATAAAATAATATTTTCCTATCATGTTTTTGGAAAAAAATTTATGGTAATCAAATACATACTAGAAAATTAATTTTCTTTTCATTCACTTATATATATTTTTTTTTCATCTTCTCTCTTTTCTTATTATTTCTGTCTAACCAAAAGGTGAGTTTAATATAAGTGATTGTGATGGGAGAGAAACTAACATTGATCAACATAGACTTCATATCAGAACAAATGTTATTAAAATCTATTTTATTTATAATTATGATCAATCTAAAATGTTTCAGGAAACAAAAGAGGATGAGATAGTATATTTTAAAATTTTATTTAATGTACATTTTTGTTCTTTCATTCTATAGTGTATATATTACTTATAGGAAATATGTATGGTGAGAAAAACACTAGTTGAAGATGAGATTTATAGAGAGAAATTCTTAAAAGTTGGTTAAATATTGTGATGATATGTGTGGGCGGGTGCGAGACAATATGAAAGCTACCACACCGGCAAGCTACGAGTGTCATGATATCACATCGCCTGGAAAAGTTGAAGGTGAAGTGTTATATGTAGGTTTAACACCCTTATATAACACAACGCGTTTTAAAGTCTTAATGGTTGTGAACCCATCAAAACTACGTACTTAAGCCTACTTATGCGGGAGTAGTACCAAGATAGGTAACTTCCTAGGGAACCAAAAGCCAAGGGTTGTTACAAATGGTATCAGAGACAGAACCCCAATCGAAAGTGTGGCCAACTGGAACGTTGGGCCCCATGGAGGGGTGATTATGACGATCTCTATGGGCGGGTGCAAGACATTGGGCGAGCTACCACATTGGCAAGTTACGGGTGTGAAGATCTCACATTGCTTGGGGGGAAGACAAAATGCGTTTTAAATTCGTGATGACCATGAAGCTATCAGAATTATGCAGCTAAGTGTGCTTATGCAAGAGTAGTACTAGGATGGGTGATTTCCTGAAAAATCTGGTCTGGGGGAACCAAAAGCAGACAATATTGCACATAACATCCCTTTACTATCAGATATCTATAATACACACCCCTAAGCATTTTCAAAAGGCTAAAAGGACGAAACAAACATTAAAAAGTTATTTTATGTCAGGTGAAAATGATACCAATGGGCTAGTGGCCTAGCAGTATCAGTTTCTTACTTCTCAAAGGGAGGTCAGTGGTTCAAGTCTCATAAGAGATAAGTATGTGTGAGTACTAATTAGGGATAAAAAAAAATAAATAAATAAATAAATAAAAGGTGAAAATGATAAGTGGATTATACTTTAGGGGTGTTTTTTGTATTTAACTCTTAACGAATTCACTCGAGTTCAAGCCAAGTATAGGTATAAGAGTTTGAACTTGGATCAATTTTTACTTATTGAGCTTAAGTTTAACTCATTTTATTTGCCTTGAGTTAAAATCTAAGTTATATCGAATAAGAGCAAATACAAGAGCGGAAGCACAAAAGTGGAAAATTTCAAAATTTGATCAAAACAGGAGTGCCTCCTATGCTACTAAATATATGTATGTACGTGTAAAATGTTTTCGATTTTTGTACATATTAATGACCATTATAGACTATGTGGAATAATAAAAATGTAATTTCAATTATAGAAAATGTGTTTGAATTATATTAGTCTCATTCGTAATATTATTAATTTTTATAACACAAAATTTATAGTGTATTTTTTTATTTCTAAAAAATGCAACATGAGAAATTTATATATTTATTATAAATTTTTATAGAAATATTGTTTAGGCGAGAAATCTGAGAAATGATTTGCTCTTAAAGTACCAATTCAATCAAAGAGCGCTAGTACAACACCACTTTAAAAGAATTGTATGTCTTGGGTTCAAAATAATTCTTACTTTTAAGTTAATTCAAGTTTGAAAACAAGATTAATAATAAAATAATAATAAATTGTGAATTTAAGCTAGTTCTCATGTTCACGAGTCTAAAAAGTATATTTAGGAATGTTTGGTAATTCAAAGGGAAGATGAGGAGTTCATACATAAATACATTGATATTTTGATTTTATTTGATTTTATTTTTGGGTGCAAGTATAAATCGAGGTAATGGATACATGTGGATAGAATATCTCGTTTAATTACATTTAGAGGTTGCACTAATCAATCATCATTCTATTTAGATCAATTACACAAAAACAGAAATGTACGAAGCCGAATATATGAATGAACACACTCAAGTGGTTCCCATTACTCTTTAAAAAAGAAAAGAGGCACATTGCTCCACTTTCACACATTCACACCACCAAATACCGATGTTTTCGCCTTAAGTTTCTTGGGAAAACATCATGACCAAATTTGCTAAAGTTTTTTTTGTCATCAAAGAAATTATTATAATGGCACTTTCATTTGTCAAATCTGGACCTTCTCATGCTTCATGCATATGATACATCCCCTCCAACGCCTATTCTTTGTTCCGTACGAAGGAAAGAACCCGTGTGATGAAAAAAAAAAAAAAAAAAAAAAAAAAACCTTCATTTGTTCGGTATAAATTAAATAATAATAATAATAATAATAATAAGAAAAAGAGGGATATTTTATCTTTTGTTAAAAAATAGACAGAAGAGAAAGGAAAGAAAAGTGAACTGCGGAGTACTATAGAAGTTATAAATAAAATAATATCTTAAATTATATAAAATTTAAATTACAGTACTATCATTCATTACTTACAATTTTATAAATATTATTGAATATAATGATAAAAATAATTTAAAACTCTATCTTTTCTTATCTAAATTGTGAGGTTATTTTCTTATCTTTCATCCAACCCAACAAAAAGAAAGAAAAACTTCCCTATGGATGTCTCATTCATCCATTCTTACCTCCCTTCCATTCAACTTTTTTCTTTTCTACAAAATGGAGCATTAATACTCCTCTTATTGTTAATAGATTGGAAGTACTAAATGGGTGTATTAGAATTAGAATTAAAATTAAATATTTTTAAATTAAATTTTCTGTAATTTCAAATTCTAAGACAATTCAACACTCCAAAACATATTCTTACTATGATCCGATTCATAATGATATCTTAATAATATTTGAATTTAGTAACGCATTTTTTTCCTTATATTTTATGTTGGCACATTTAACTATTAACAAACAATTTTTACTTGGACATGATTTAGTGAAACAAGTGTTTTTCCAAGCTTAATAACTAAGATCAAGGGCATTCTACCTTCTAGAGTGAGTGAAAGGTGGAAAATTCAAGCCTTGTTAACAACAAAATGAATGTCCAATTTTAATTATTAAGATCTTAAAAATGTTTAAGAGCTACTAGTCAAGGCATCATATAATAAAATGTGAGCTAAATGTGTCATATAAATGACAAAAATTAGAATATATAAATGGAATGATAAGAATTCAATTGGGGTGAGGAAATGGGCACATCATTGAGAGATTATTCTGTGCCACATGTAGGGTTTAACATAGACAAATCTGGAGGATGGTTTGTGGTTTGCCTTTAACCAAAGAGGATGACAGCCAAGGCCAGCAACCACATGCCCCCATTTAAATAAACCATTATTAGCTATTTTGACCAATTTGTCACCCAATCCCTTCATCAACGTCTAACTCCGTCACTCCCTTTTGCCCCCGTGGACACCATTTAATAAGTTGGTTTTAAATGTAATTATGCTTCAGGGTGATGATTTACCTACCTGCAAGGGGGCTGGGTTCAAAGGACATTGTCAATTAACCTTTGCTAGCAGTAAAAAGTCATGCAGATTGAATTGGTAGTCCATGGAAATAAATGAGAAAGAACAGTGAAAATGATGGCTTCAATTAATTCCAAGGCAGTGGAGCAATTGGCTAAAGTAATACCACAACTTGAATGGTAGTCTATTCTTATCATTTATTCAAAATAAAAAAGGAGAGTAGCCAAATCCCTTAGATGCTCAATCAATAGTCTTAATAAGTTGGCGAAAACACACCACTTTAAAATAGCGTATTATATACCATTTATTTCTTCTTCTTTTTCTTGTATTGCCACACATCTTTCTCACTTCTCATTTCAACCACCCACTATTTAACGAATGCCCAGCATTGGTGGCCTTAAAGGTGTGTTATTTAAACACTATTTGCACAAGCCCAAGCCATGAATATAAAAGAATAGATTTGCCAATAGTGGTTTAATTACCCATGGACGCAAATAAAAATGACTTCAATGCCAAACAGTGACAGAAAAATATTCTGTCAGACAATTCACTTTAACCATTAGGCCTAAGTGGTATCACTGCTCAATGATAAAAAGTCCAAGTCGGACACATAAGACTTTTTTTATTTTTTATGTGAGATGAGAATGATGTCATTATTACATTAGCCATTATAATGATGTCATCCCCTCACATTTATTTATTTATTTTTTGATGAGAGGAGTGAGGAAGATGATGGGGTGAGTCGAACCTAAACTCCCACTCGACTCAGGGAGTATCACTACCAATTGGGCAACCCCACTCACATGGATGTAATCAAAATGTGGCCGACTTCGGTGTATCACAACTCAAGCTAGAATCTTCAAAAAATCTATGATAGTCCACTTCACTCAATCTTCTATCAAATTTATGAGGATCCTTATCGGTAAGAAACCAGTATCCACCTCAAAGGCCCACAAGTAATTGCTTCTTATCAGAAAGATTTCAGAATGATTTTAGAAGTAACTATGGCGACCATGGCATGGAGTAGAGACAAATACTGGACCTAAAAGTCTCTTTCATTCAAATTATACACGGCAGCAGCCAAAAAGACAGACTTTATATGCCGATAAGAAGATTTTCCCGGGAAGCTCACATTTTTATGCAACCTAAGTCATTTTCAGCAAACCATCGAGGATGGATATAGGCTCCATAAGTCCTTCCATAGCATGACGAGAAACCAAAATGCCATGCTTACCTTTCTTCCCCAAACTCAGTCCTGTGCATCCGAAATGAAATGGACCACAAATTCCTCATCAACATTTAAGTTGATACATAAATTACATGCCAAGGAAAATATTGTAAGCAAGAACTCCTGCATCATCATGGCAAGCAGACTTCAAAGTTGTTTTAACTCGAGCATTCTTTCAACCATCTGTAAAAAAACAAAAAAACGGAAGATTACAAAAATTATAAAGAATAATAAAGAGGGAGCCTAGCAGATGATCTGTGATCAAAATAGGACTTTGAGGCAGAGTCAACAGGAGACTGCTGCATCAATTGGTTAGGTCAGGTGTAGGAATAATTACAACTCTGCAAACCATACAGACTTGGGATTAATACTATTGAATTTCAGAGTTTTGTAAGACCACATATTGCAGAAGTATGTAGAGTGCTGAAAATGTCCCCTACAGAAAAATACACTATTGCTATGCTTGGGAGCTCCGAATCGGTGGCTTGTATTCGGAATTGGAGATAATTTAGTAAAACTTTGAACTAAAACTTTTCCAATTCCAAGGCGCCGATTCAATGCTCCCAAACGCAACATATGAAAATTAAAGCAACTGCAATACGGCAACAGTGGCTCTATGAAAGGGACTGGTCAATATGGTTCCTAGTTGGGAATATATGCAATTGCATCTAGTTTGTACAGGACAAGGTTTCAATAGCCAGACTGAAAACAGAGCTGCATATTGCCCTCCCTGTGACTGGTGTTGTACTCACTACTCTCAAATCTCTTCCATTCTAAGATTCTCAAATCTAGTTGTCAACAATTGTATATTAAATATCTCGAGGAGTGTTGTACTTCCATCTACCTTTCGAATTCCCCATGCTTCCCTAACTAAAGTGCAATTAGTGATTCTACAAACCCAGTGAGATCAATAGCTGTAAATAAAGCACTTTAAGCTGTAGAATTATAGTTTGCCTCGGTAAAACAGGAAGGCCACGAAGATAGATTTCTTCACCTTTGTCATTAAGACCAGCTGAAAGATTGGCACTCTTCTCTATTTTATTCTCCACCAAGATGCACCCGGGTGGGTGTACTGGGGGGTCTGATGTGGGGTGGGGAGCATGTATCACTCCTACTTATGTGCTGATTCAAGTTCTGACTCGCCATCTGATGGTTTAAGTAAGTATCCAAGCCAGCAGATGAAGACATTCCAGCCTTTCTTTTGCTCTTAAACCTTCACCTAACAGGATTGTAAGGAACGAAAAAGGAAGAAGCAAAAGAGATCCTTTTGTAGGTCTATCTGCTCATCTTAAAGAATAGTTTAGCTCAATAAGATACCTGTCTTTCCTTTTCTCAAGATATCTTTGCACTGATGCTTTTCTGCTTGCTGTACCTTCAGCTGCTGGAATTAAAAACAAGAAAATAAAAAAGATACGGTGATGATCATCAAAGTGAAGAGGACAATGCTCTCATTTTCATTATCCACAAAATCTTAGTGCATTTCTGTTTATCATATGTCACTAATCTAGCCTGATGACTGAGTGATAAAACTTCTAAAATCCATAATGATAAAGAGTTAAAAATCTACTCTTCCTTTTTTATAACAACGATATTATATTTTATCAGAAAGTTCAACAGGCCGAATTCAAATGTGAAGAGATCAAAATATTTATGTTATCTGCTTTATACTAATCCCCCTCTCTATGTTTTCCTTTCATTATCTTATTGAATAAAATATCAAGCATAGATCCAAAATATATTAACCCAGAAAAGAAAGCAAATCAAGTCAATTCCCACAACTTATGGCTTGCTACTAGCTTCTTTGATGACAGTACCTACAACATTAAAAACAAAACTTTTTCGAAATGCATGAATGACAAGAACCATTAGTCATTAGCTTTCGTGGTGTCTCCTGCCACCCGCCAAAATAGGGAGGTACATGGCTCAAGCATCTAGTTGACATGGGGACATGTTTATCACTGGTTATAAGCTTTTAAAAAAAAAATGATAACAAAAAGAAAAGATGTACCAAGACATGAAGATGAATATGAGATGCCATCCATGCTACAGGAGGCACCAATTGATGAGATGAAGGAAGAATGTTATACAAGAATTTTGGGGCACTGTAAATGCTGCAGTAAGGAGAATTGATTTGATTCACTTTGAAGGCAGCAAGAGAGAAAGGCCAGAAAAAATGTGGTTAGGCATTCGTGCAAAGAGGCATGATGACCCATGAAACTAGAGATAAGGACTAATTAGGACAAGGACTTATTGAGTCGAGTTGTGGTCAACTATCTCTAGACATTGCAATGGTCAGCCAGGGGTGACGTGTCGTTATGTCAAAATAGGCATCAACACAATGGGGTGGGCTTCAGCCTTCATGCAAGAAAATACAGTCTTAAACAATATTTTATCACCTCGCTTATTAAGAACAACCACGATCTTTAACGCCTAAAGAATGGACTGAAAAAACTAACAAGCTACACACCGAAAATAAACCAGGAGATCAATATTATCCATTAAACAGTGACAGTGCCTAAGTCTGTGCTATCACATTATTTTTTGTTCTTTTATTAAGCCGATATGAACTTAAACTCAAACATTCAGTATCGATCTAACTAGTCCCAAAAAGCAATTTACCATTATTTTAAATTCTAAAAAAAACAATTGCAAACTAGTACAAGCATTTACCAGGGTCATCTTCACGATAAATATTGCTTTCTTCCCTGTGCAGCTGGTGGTTATCAGTCATGTTCCCTATAAAGTTAAACCAAACTGACATGTTAATATAGAATAACAACACATTAACCACAATATAATTCTTTTTTGGATTCTACTAATACTTTCATGGTAACACCATAATAAATCATATCGGCCATTAATTGATAAACACTATAGGTACTTCTTGAACTTCCAAATTGAATAGTTAGTGGTTTCATTGTTGTGTTTAATTAATAATGTGCGAATCATGCAACCAAACAAACAACATACTGCTTATGTCACACAGGATCTTTCATCATCCAGGTAAACAAAAATGTATTAGAGAAGTGGCTCATGTAAAACTGACTCAGTTGTTTGGATAAATTGCATGCTAAGGATGCAGTGATCTGTAAAGAAAACAAAGCAAAAGTATATCTGATGCTTCCCAAATTACCTGTTTGCAGAGCTGGCAAGATCGGCACAGGAAAATCTGAGCCAACTTTGACATTTGCAGCCTGTAAATGGAATGATACTGCTTGTTTTTCTGCAGTTCCATCAAATTGAACTTCTGAAGACAAATGGAGTGGGCTTGCAGCAAGCTGCATTATTGCTCGTGCCTAAGAATACATCATTTGGTCACATTAGATTCCAGAATACTATTAGAATAATCTCGGGCCACTTACATAAAAGAGGAAGGGATCAACACCTTATGAGTTGGCACATCATCATAGACATTCACCTTGCCACAATAAAAGATTGTCATTTGACCAGCTGGGCTGATTGTTGCACCTGTGGTTCTGGGACCATTAGGGAATAACTTCAGTCTTTGAGACCAATTAGAACAAAGAAGATCATTTTTTCCTCAAAAGAAATGTGAGTCATCATCCCAGATCCATACCATGCACATTTGCACTAATGGAAGTTAACTTGGACTGTCCATGTTTGAGGCCATCTTTACACTGACAAAAACTAATTTTAGATAAATGGAGCAATTTTCATATAAGTAAAGAAAGACATGATTACACAAAGAAACCTGTACCAGAATGTACATGAGAACCTATAGTTGAACTAAAAATTGTAGATGCCAGGAGTTGGTGTCTGATTATAAATCAGACCAGCAAAACCTTAGAAAGGACCATAGCAAAATCCTAAAATATAATCTTTGACAAAACCTGTAAATTTTCTCCTATCAGGTTGATCAAACCTGTCATCAAGAAGATGGCCGAAGGCCTTTCAAGAAACAACAATTATCATGAGATCAGAACTGATATACAACATTACAACCATTGACCATACAACTAGCTTGTAGTGACCTATGTTGATAAGTTTGAGGGATTTGAAAACCAAAATCATTGATTACCTTGAGAGGATCTTCAAAAAGCTTTATTTAAATGTGAGAAACATGTCCTCATTAGCCTAGTTTTTTACAGTGTCTTTCCTAGTAACATATAACTACCCACCACAGATTCCAAAGTAAATCCTACGTAAAGGAATATGTAACATACTTTTGATCTCCTCTGCACCTGAAGCCCATGGGATGTAGCGGTGGACGAATGGATACATTGATAGAGAAAACAATATCAGCTACTATAATACATCATCATCATCATCATCATCCTTGCCCTAATTCTATATGAATGGGGTCGGTTACATGAATTCTCTTTTTCCATTCTTTACTATCACAAGCCATCCCATGGGATGTAGCGGTGGACACATGGATACATTGATAGAGAAAACAATATCAGCTACTATAATACATCATCATCATCATCCTTGCACTAATTCTATATGAATGGGGTCGGTTACATGAATTCTCTTTTCCATTCTTTTCTCTCACAAGCCATCTCTCATAATAAGATTTAGCTTTTTAAAATCATTTCTAATAATTCTATCCCATCTTAATTTCAGTCACCCTCTGTCTCTGTCTCCTGCATTCTGTGCAAATTAGTCTTCCTCTTCTCACTAGTGCCTCCTTAAGTCTTCTTTGTATATGTTCATACCACCTAAATGGCCAAATCTACGTTCTCTTATTTTATCAGTAATAGGTGTCACTCCTAATTTCTCCCTCACATTTTGATTACTAACCCTATCTCTTCTGGTCACTCCTATCATCAATCTTAATATCCTCATTTCCGCTACATCAATTTGTTGTTTTTTTTCCCTAAGCCTAACACTCTGCACCATATAAAATAGTTGGCCTAATAACTGTCTATAATATTTTTCTTTTTAATTTATTAGTTATTCTTTTATCTTATAAAACACTAGAATGTCTCCATTTTGTCCAACCTATTCCAATTCGACTAATCCCATCACCGTCTACCTCACTATACTTCTGTATTAGTGATCCTAAGTATCAATAATGGTTAATCTGAATAATCCTTTGGCTTTGAAGTGTGATCATTATATTATTAATATCTGTTTCTTTACTAAATTTACATTTCATATATTTAGTTTTAGACCTACTAATTTTTAAACCTTTTGACTCTAATGCAATTATTCTCGTTTCTAATTGTATTGCTATATTTTCTTTAGAAAAATCCAATAGCATTATGTCATCGACTAACAACATGCACCATGGAATGTCTCCTTGTAAGCCTTTTGTGTTTTAATAGGAATTCATTTTCTTTGTAAATTCCACCAATTATAGCTCTTGGCATCTTATCATAAGCTTTTTGTAAATCTATGAAAACAATATAAAAATCTTTTTGCTTCCTCTTACACTCTTCAATTAATTGTCCTATTAAGTAAAAAGTTAATATTGTGGAACTCCCTAGCATAAATCCAAAATGGTTATTCCTTGATAACCATTTTCATGGTTTCATTGTATGACTCATTAATTTAATTTCTCGATAACTGTTATAATTTTGTATATCCCTTTGTTTTTGTAAATTGGTACTATCATGATTTTCCTCCACTCTTTTGGCATCATTCCTTTTTCTAGAATTTTGTTGAATAAATTAGTAAGTTGTTCAATTCCTACATTTTCTAATGTTGCTCTATAAGTACGTTATCTAGGCCAACTGTTTAATTCATCCCCGTCTTTTTAAGTGTAGCCTCCACTTCCTTATTATTTATTTTATTTACCATCCCACACTGATTTCATTACTTTCCACGTCTCTAGAGTATTCCTCAATTAGAAGTTGCTGAAAGTAATTTTCCATCTAACTAATATGTCATTATCCTTAACTGATATAGAATAATTATTATTTAATGGTCATATCCTTAATACATCTAAGTTGATCCAAGTCGCTAGTTTTACTTATCTCTACTCTTTTCAATATATAAATAACTTTTTCCCCCTCCTTTGTATAATTTTGCATATAAATTATTAAGTGTTCTTTGATTAGCTTTACTTATTATCTTCTTAGTTTCATTTGTTAATCTCTTACATTTCTCTAGATCATCTTGTTGCTTACTTTTTTACTATTCTTTGAAACTCTTTCTCTTTTGTTGTATTTCATGACCCCACCACCATTATTTTTAATGAATTTGTTTCCCTTTGATTCCCCCAAAATTTCCTTTGACATACTCCTAAATATAATTTTTCATTTCTAACCACAATCTATTTATATTACGATTCCAATTCCATTGCTTTTCTACTAATATTCGTTATCTAATACCTCTTTGCTACCATTAAATTCTTTCCATTTTATATTTTGAGGGCCTATTCTTAATTTTTTGTATATTTAAATCTTTTAAGGGTAAATTACACTTGACTTCCCCTGAGGTTTGGCCTAATAACACATGGCATTAAACTTATGCATTTTGTCGTGCCATGCTCCCCCGTGGTTTGCTCCGTTACAACACATACCCCCTTCCATCCAAAATTTGGCCAGTGATGTAAGAAAATTTGGTTGCAGTGACCGAAATGCCCATCAACTAAGAGGAAAAGACGCTATTACCCTTAGATTGCCATCAAATTACAAAAATGTCCTCACTTTCATGGACGAAAATACCCTTCTTTCTCTTCCCCTATCTCTCTCTTTTGATAAGTATTCTCTTCCCCTCTCTCTCTCCACCTACCCCTGATGCTTTTTTTAGCTTTCCATATATATCCCAGATCTCTTTATTTCTCTCCATACCCATATATGTGTGTGTGTGTGTGTGTGTGACTCCATATTCTATATACATTTCAATCAAAGCTATAGATTAAGGTACCCACTTAAATTGGGTAAACATAAGGAAACCACCATTACATACACAATCTTTAATTCTCTTTTTCATTCTATTCTATTCCTTCCATTTTTGTTGTTATTGTCCACTAACGCTTCCAGTAACGTGATAACCTTATTCATATCTATTTAGTAGCGGCCAACACTTTTTTCCTAACATAATGCAGCCTCCAAATTTATAAATTTGGTTTGTATAAACTAATCATAAAGTAACTAATTAATAAAAGGTCGTCTATTCAAGCTATTTTTCCGAAGTTAAATATGTTTTTTCACGAAAATCGTTTTCTAACTTTGTTTTCACAAAAAAATTGATTTAGGTGTCCCGAAGGAACTCAACATTGAGTAATGAGTCTAGAAGTAAAAAGTTTGAGGTGTATCATCCTTCCATTTTAAATCATATTTAAATAGGCCCTAATACAAACATAAGCTCAGTTCAATCAATAAACACTTCTAGAAGTAAAAAGTTTGAGTTGTACCGTCCTTCCATTTTAAATCACATTTTATGCAACTACTGATGCCTTCACATATATGATAACTATATAAAGATGGAAATCTATTTTGATGTTTCCTTTTGAACCATTCTCAATAAACTCTATAGAAATGCATGCCACGGAATTTTTTTTTTCCCTGGAATAGCGACAAATTCATTAATTTTTCTTATTAAAGTTTACACTGTCATCCACTACCCCGAAAACCTACCATCTATACAAAGTTTACACTGTCACCGTCTTCCCCCTCCTCCACATCTTCCTCGCTGGTGGCGCCCTCCATCGCCATCGCAACTACCGCTGCACCACAATGCCACCTGCTGCCGAGTCCATAATAGATCCAACTACATCGACAAATTGTCTGGAACGGCAAAGGACTGTGTCATTTGTTAGGATTCCTTCCAAGAGGGCAAGTGGTGCAAGAGTCTGCCATCATGTAACCACATGTTTCACGAGAAATTTGTGGACCAATTGCCCAATTTGCCAAACCCGCGTTTGGTTGAATTCAGGGGCATCCACTTCAGTAATCAGTAACGATGATTGTAACATGTTATGGGCTGTTGGAGTAGGATAGAGAAATTAGGATTCTTGACGGCAATCCATTGGCGGTTCTGCAAGACCCTTGTAGACGAGATTTTGGGCTTTTTCGCCGCTTCGAAGACAATGTAATCGGAGCTGAAGTTGTTGGTAACGGATTTGAGGTCGGAGAAAGAGAACTCCGAGAAGGAGGGACTCTGGTGGCAGTAAGCGGGTCGTGTCATGGTGGGTTTGGGTTGTCATGGATTGGGGCGGGACGGCAGAGACGGTGACAGATTGTATGTATAAAGAGAGGATGGTGTGGAGGGATATTATGCTTTATGACAGGATTGGGGATTGGGGAAGAAGATGGAGAGAAACAGAGGGTGAGTTAGATTTATTATTATTAAAAAGTATTAAAAAATGAGGGGTAATAGGGTAATTTGGCCTTGTGTAAAAGTGACCTTCATTCTCTCCCAGATAAAAAGGCATGATTGTTGACCTAAAGGTTTTGACCTAAGGCCAATCTAGTAATTTTGATGATTACAAACCATTAATAGTGATTAGGCACTAATGTCTACATTGAGTGTTGTGTTAGATTTGTTCAAATTTCCAAGATAGACTCAATGAAGCAAGATGATCAAAGTCATATTCCAAGCTTTCCAATGCACATGAAGCAATGGACAAGGAAATGACTTGAAGTTGCAAAAGTTAATGCAAGAAGCATTCAATGTTGACTTGGACCTCAAAGAACATGAATTCAACTCAAATGTCAAGAATGCAACTCCATGATCAAGGAAGAAACCTCAAAGCTCAAAGAACAATGCCAAAACTTGAAGAATGGGGTAGATAAGTTGGTGAGTGCTTAGGATTCCATTTTACAGTATTTTTGAATCTATTTTGAAGCTCACTTCTATAGGATCATGCATATTACTCATATTTCATATTTTGATCCTTAAGCAACCTAGAAATAGGTCATATTTCTCATTGAGATATATATATATATATTGTTAGACTACCAATTGCTCCAAACTCTTAAGCTGTTAGAGAACCAATTGCTCCAAAAGCTTAAACTGTTAGAGAACAGGTCAACAATGTATATCAAGCTCCAACACCCTCCATCATGTGCAACCCCATCTTGCATGTGGCGAGGCAAACAAAGCAAACCAAGATATATCATAAGAAGTGCATATTTGCACACCAAACAGGGGAACGAATAGAGACTTGAACCAAGGCCTCCCAAAACAAAGGCGTTCTAACATATATATAATGACGTAACGAAACTCCAAGGCCAAAGACACCTTCAAAAGTGTATAAATTCAAGTTCAGAACTCAGCCAGCCGACTGGTAGAGTCAATTGAGGCTGCTGAGTTTTCCAAAGATCTTAGAATCGAGATAATAGCTTATTCAGCCGACTGAAAATAGATATTAGCCGCTTGGTTTATGGCATCAACTGACTGGTTTGTGTTGGAATTTGAATCCAACGGCTACTACAACATTTAATGCTCTATCACCCACCTCCAACAGCAATTTTCTGGCAGAAAACTCTATAAATAGAGTTGTACATTTGTGGAGGGATATACAAGTGAATATACAAGAAATGAGACACATTTATGAGCAAGCATTTGAGCATTCAATACAATTTTCATCTCTCATTCATTCACTTCATAGACTTACTTTATTCATTAATACTCTAACCTTGTGAGCTTTGATTTGCATATCAATATTTTGAGAGATATATAGCTTGTACACAATTCTTCCTAGAAATCATTTGTAAGGGTTAGTGTGACCCAAAAGGAAGCCTAAGAGAAAGAGTTTCTCTTAACAAATGAAGGAGAAGAAAGTTTGCTCTCCACCCAAAAGGAGAAGTCATAGTGGATTTGGGAAAGTCTCGAGAGGGATCTTAAGGAGGAGTAAGAATTCCAAATCTCGCTGAATCGGCGTGTCATTGTGTATGCATTTCTCTTCCCTTATCTTATTTAAATTGTGCTTATATTGATTATCTTGATATATTGAGTTTGCACAATTTATATAGATATTGCTTAGACTTGCATAATTCTATTAATCCGAAACCCCCCCCCCCCCCCCCCCCCCCAAAAAAAAAAAAAAAAAAAAGATTTGGAGAATTAAGGATTTTAAGTTCATTAGGTTACTAGCTTTATTGAAGAATCTGAGACAATAGATCTAACTAGTATACGAAAATGAAACCGTAAAATTAAGATGAACCCAAACATCCACAAGCCTTTTGGAAAAGAAGTAAAAAGAATCAAATTGTTTAATTCCAAGGAACACAATATTCAAATTGAGAGAAGATTATTCAAGCAAGTGACCAACCAAAATATTTTATAAGTGCAAGGATATCCATCAAATAGTGCCAAAAGGAGACATCAATCATTTAAGTGATACGTACATAAGAGCGAACCCATACACCAACTACAAAGAAACAAAAAGAGCCAAATTCTTCACGAGCTAAATAAATTAAAAAAAGAAACCTAAGAGGAATTCAAACTCTTTGTCAATTGATAATCCCAAAGACTGCTCTTCAACTTAAGAATTGGATCCCCTACTCCATCACATGGAATCTATTAACTCACCCCCGAAAAACACCTCATTGGGCAAAGTGGATGTTTCATGTGTTTTGTCCTTTCTGATTCCATCCTCTTCAATTGTGAAACAACTAGGCCAATGATCTAGGAAGCATCCAAATCATCCCAAACAAAGACAACAATTAAGACCATACCTTCTCTACCACTTTATATCATTTATCATCTCTACTACCACTTCTATACATGCAGCACTAATTAGAAAGCACATTTTCTCTCTTAACTAAATTATCAATTGTCAAAAACTACACTCCAGCCATTGCTTTCAAGAAAGAACTTTCAAAAATCCAAGTCACTTGGTGGATATCTTTTGACTGCTTTGAATCTCTCATGTCAATGTCTACAAAGTTTTAAGCCAAGATGGACTGCTTTCCAAGAGGAAAACCAATACTGCATAACCTTCCTTGGCCCCTGCTCCGTAACACAATTAACACGCTTCTGTTTCAAGGGGGAACTAATTCAATGGTATGCAAAATACACTTGACACACACTAACATAACAGTCATGCTATTACAGTGTGAATGAGTTCTAAAGGTAAGAAGTGCAAACTATAAGCATCGTTGCCACTGACTAAGATGGCAAAACAATGCTACACTATTGCAGCTTTCTAATAGACAAAGTACAGCACCTCGTATCCCACTAGTATGACAAACTCGGCATAAGTTGATGTGGTGCACAGAACCTTTGAAATCTATAATAATACAAGATATGTAGGACCATTTCAGTCTCTGAACCTACTTATCAATAGCATCTCAAAGCCCATGTATTAGTATATCATACTTCAAGCACTGATGCATGATGCACACTGACAGAATGTAAAATGGTCATGAACAGAAGGTATGTTAAAAGCGCACATCACCGCCTCCAACATATGCTAAACATCATCTGATTTTTATTTTATTATTTATTATTTATTATTTTATTACCTTTTCTAAATTTTTTAAATGTAGATACGTTACATCAGTTTTTGAATCTATGTTTCAATAACACCTCACTCATGTTCAGAGCATGCCAGGCAGACGTTGACTCGTGTGCAAACACCAAGAACCATGGATCCAGAATGAAAGGTTTGTACGGTTTAAACACCATTTTTTTCTATGAAGATAGCAAGAAATGTTATGCCATTACAGTTTTTGAACACCTCGCCGCTCAGCCCTCATGTCTAATACACCTAGATATGTGTTGATGTGTGGCGCATGAAAACACTTGGTTTTCTAAATATAGGTTGTGCAAAGCATAAATGACATAAAGGAAGAAAAGTAGCACCTATCTGTGACATTATATCAGCAACTTTACAGCCGAAATGTATAATGCACATGCTGCTTAAAATCCTTGCATCAGACCATCACATTTTCAATAGACTAAAGAATAAGGGCATGTTTGCCTCGATTCTTTGAAACAATTTCAAGAAATGAGTCTTCAGAAAATTAAAAAAAATGAGTATTCTTCTAAATTGAGTCCTTTTCAGAATAAATAAATAAACAATCCGTAAAACCCAAACCGAGTCTAATCCGCATACAGTAATAAAACCCAATGGTTTAATATAATACCTCAAAAATAAAAAGGTCTAATTCATAGTGGTAAAAATAATTTCAATTGAAATCATCATCACCATTTGGCATGTATCAGCAAGAAACACATAAATTAATCAGAATAAAGGCCACAAGACCACTGTTAAATGTTAATGACGAGACACACTGACAATATAAATATAATAAAATAAACAACTACCTGTTAGGAATTGAGTCATTGTTGGCGGCAATTAGACGGCCCGATGAATCGCCAGAAAGGTCGGGTTTTTCAGGGTCTTTTCGCCTATATGGAACCCATTCTTCGGCAGATTCAGAGATCGGCGTATCGGCACTCGGTTCTTTACGAAACTACATACATTTATTTGATCAATGACAAATAAAGTGTACCAATTAAAATAATATTAAGAAAAGATTATCCTGTACTAGCAGTAACCTTTATAATAATATAAAAATTAGAAAGAGAAACAGTAGATAGAGAGAGAATGAGTGCTAATTGAAACACACAGGTTGTGGATTTTCAGGGCGGGGAATGTAGAGCTTCTTGCGAGTTCCGGCATCAGAATCCGGCGTCGCTTCGAGTAGCGTCTTCAGAGATATGACTTGTTGGATCGCCTGCGATTTGTTCCACGACGGCCGTCTCATCCCTGCACGGGCGTCACGAAAAAAACCTAACTGACCGGTGAATTTCAATATACAAATAATTCAGAAAGATATATGTGTGTGTGTGTGCGCGGAGAGAGAAACAGGGAGAGGAGGGAAAGAACCTTTTTCTTTGAGGTATCGGCGGCAATCTTCGCGAGTGAGTTGAGAAATGTCTTCTTCAGTGAGTTGGTGGAGAGGTTTGTCGAGAAGAGACCGGGAAACGGTCTCTTCCGGCGACATGGTGTCAGATTCCGGCCGGAATCGATCGGTGAGCTCCGTGATGGAGAGATCAGTGACTTCGATCGGTTCGTTTTTGGAAAATATGTTTGAATTTTGGGGGAATTACTCTTCAGTTGTGCGTTTGTGTGTGTGTGAGAGAGTGTGTGACGGAGAGTGTATCTGCGTGTCCATGTACTGTATGAGTGTGTGCCTGAGTTCGGAAATTTGGCCGCGGCGTCGGCGCTATGTTTCGGGGTTTATAATCTATTCGCGGATGTAACCCCAGGACGCCACGTAATTGGCTGCCCGTTCATTACGATTTTGTCCCCGTACCTTTCCAAAATTACGGTCGTCTCTGCTTTCTGTCAACTGCCCATTGGCCATCTGATACGTGTAGGCTGTTTCCTCATTTATCCAAATATTCAATCGATTGAATAGTGATTCATACCGACCTATTTATACATACTTTATTTCTGATCAAAATTTGATATGGGACAAGTCCCACCTATAACATTCTCCCCCACCCAAATCATGTAAAGCCTTCTTTATGATCGAGCCACCTTGCCTATCCAGGGTCAGACTCGGAACACCTTTCTAACCGTGGGCTTAGCGTGATACCGAATTAAAAATTAAGTCCAACTTTGATACCAATTATAATGGGTGAACGCTTATCCATTTACCCAAAAACTTAAACAATTGAATAACACTGCATACCCACTTATTTATGTACACTTAAAACCCTATCCAAATCCTACTGGACTTGTAACACCATCATAGTTTGTGTAGTTTCATTAGTATTTAGGCAATAATGTTTATATATTGAAAAAGAAGGGAATGGGTAAATATTAATTTGTTTTGAGAGAAAAAATAAAACAGAAAATGATAGGATAATATTAATTATTTATATCAAATAAAAGAAAGAAAAAGATAATAATTATATTAAAAAAGGGAAAAAAGATAACTATTTTAATTAATTTATCATTATATTAATTTTTTTTTATAGATTTTATCTTTCATAAAAATAAAGATAAATTTAATATTAATAAAATTTCGTAAAAAATAAATTTTTTTTTTATTTTTTTTTTCATTTTTGAAAGGTCAACTCATCTCTAAATCTTTGTGTTTACTTCTAAAATTTTATAACAAACACAATAAGCCATATTCCTTATTATTATTATTATTATTTCAGACTAAACTTGGCCTTATGTCACGGGCCTAGAGATTTGGCGCAGCGGCACGGCCCGTGCGGCACCAAGGCGTTGCTTCAGCTCGCGCAAGCGCCCTGGTCAGCCACCACGACCTGCCCTCCCAAGGATACATGCTGACTGGTTTCGGCCTGCCATGGCCTCGTCAGGGGAACGGCTCCAGCTCCCGACCAGTTTGTGCAGGGATGGCCAACTCCCTTCTTCATAGTCAAGTCCACGACCAGCGACAAGCACCTCGAACTGAACCGAGTCGACCTGCCTGAACTCTGAAGAGGTACCATCCTGTGCTCCTGCACGCCCCTTCCCTGGAACCATTCCCAGTCAAACTCTGCTCTTTGCCAACCAGCATGCGTGTCTTCCATCCTCCAAGCGTCTTAGGAATCACTTCGTGACATTCTCCCCCACCCAAATCCTGCGACGTCCTCGTCGCAGTGCGGCGCTTCACTACTGCGTCCACTCCCTTCCAAAGTCTGCCTCCATGCGGTATGCTCGCCTTCCCACCATCGCTTCCTTGTGCAGCTCCCTGCACTGCACTCGCCCAATGATAGGCCTCGGACCAAGGGGACGTCCACTCCTCAAGGACGTGACTCTTCTCCGTCATGCCGCCTCCGCGACATCCCGAGCAAGCAATGGCCTTCTGCCGACTTGATGCTCGCCCTTCACCATGGTTTGCATCACCCAAGGACTAAGCACGAACTTTGGTGCGCGCGGCCCTCCGGCCCTTCAATGCGCAACTTCAACGGACGCCTCTTCCTGGGGAGATGGAGGCTCTCCCCCCCAACTGCATTGATTCCTCCACATCGACGCAACTTCAATGCACCGTCTTCATTCTCTGACACCTCCCGGACTGACAAGGGGGCACCCCACCGTGCTTTACCCCAAGTCCTGCTCTGATACCATTTGTCACGGGCCTAGAGATTTGGCGCAGCGGCACGGCCCGTGCGGCACCAAGGCGTTGCTTCAGCTCACGCAAGCGCCCTGGTCAGCCACCACGACCTGCCCTCCCAAGGATACATGCTGACTGGTTTCGGCCTGCCATGGCCTCGTCAGGGGAACGGCTCCAGCTCCCGACCAGTTTGTGCAGGGATGGCCAACTCCCTTCTTCATAGTCAAGTCCACGACCAGCGACAAGCACCTCGAACTGAACCGAGTCGACCTGCCTGAACTCTGAAGAGGTACCATCCTGTGCTCCTGCACGCCCCTTCCCTGGAACCATTCCCAGTCAAACTCTGCTCTTTGCCAACCAGCATGCGTGTCTTCCATCCTCCAAGCGTCTTAGGAATCACTTCGTGACACTTAGCTCCGTAAATGTGTTGGATAAAATGAGTGAGATGAATGAAATAGGCTCCATGTCAATTCGATCAGCAAGTTAGTTTATGTAATTTCAAAAGTGAACAATTTGTCTCCTTGCATTTTACCTTCGACCATTTTTTATCCGATGTCATTGTGTATTTACCAAAATGCCCCTACGACTAACTTTTTTTTTAATAAAAAATAAAAAAATATAAAAGACAAAAATATTTTAAATGTGCTCTATAATAAACTAAGGCATTACATGATCCTAAATTGATTTAAGTATTGTAACTCATTATGTAGACCTTTGTTTGGTTTATGTGAACTCGGACCGAATGGGTTTCATACCCTGTTTTTTTTACGAACACGTGTCTATTAACTTTTTTCTCATCGGTATATATATATTTTTTAGTAACGCTTCCTTATTTGTATTAATGACTTGGTTTAGTAGAGAGCGAAAAGACAGGAAATCATTCAAAACACAAAACTAACTAACAATTTATTGAATTTTCAAGCAAATGAAATCGTTATTTTAAGGTAATGAATGAGGCTGACTTTGAGGCCAAAAATGGATTTACAATCTTACATTTTAAATCCTTAAGTGTTATTTTAAGGTAATTGAGACTTTGAGGCCAAAAATAAATTTACAATCCCATATTTTAAATCATACGTAAGAGGGGTTTTAACTATCCATCTTTCATAATTATATTACATCCCCAATCATATAGTATTACATTACAGACAATTTGATGTAAAGCCTTTTATAAGAGTTATTTGTTGGAAAATAAAAATTACAAAATCAAATATGCAATTAACAAGATCTTGTTTATATGTCATGAAAAAATAACTACAACCACCCATACCTTGAAGCAAATCATCCGCGTCAATTAAGCATTCACAATACAAATATGATTAATGATGCAATCAATTATAAAAGAAAGGTCAATATTTCGCCGCATGGCAACCTGTCACTGCCCCAGTGGCTCTCTTTCCTCAAACATCTCCACTTTCATTGGGGCCACTTATCTTTCAGCGCCATACACATACAGGATTACAGTATTTATTATTATTATTTTTTTAACTTCAAACTTTTTTTAAAAAAAATTATTAGTATTATTATTATTATTATTTTATGTACAATACAAAACAATAATGATGCAGACCTTCTACACCTTCAATCATTCGATTGGCTTAGAGCTTGGTGACAAAAAGAAAAAAGAAAAAAAAAGGCTTAGGGCTTGTTTGTTACTCGTTTTATTTTTAGTGTTTTTGTTTTTGTCGGGTATTGTAGCAATGAGCAGAGGAAAAATCTTGTTTGGTATAAACTGTGTTGCTTTGCACAGTATCGAAATGTTTCATGAATAGTGACAAAAAATCGAAACACCAATTTGATATTTTTGTATATTTTCGCACTGTAACATTTGATAATATAGCGATGAACAATAATATATAAATATATATATATATATATTCATGAAAAACTCTTAAATGACATTTAAAAACTAACCATCGTATTTTCAAACTTACAACACTTTTATATCAAATACGTTTTTATTTTTTTATTTCAAAAAATCTTATAACAAATAGACTTTATCAAACATGTTTTTCTGATTACTATTCAAATCACTCTATAATAAAACTTCTTATTTAGTTTTGAGTTAAAACAAAATGCATACCAAATAAATCCTTAATAACATAAAGTATTAGTTACGTTGTGATTGGGAATATCGAATCCACATTTTAAAATGAATTTTTCCCGAAATTTTAGACTGCAAATTCAGTATTCACAAAAGGATAGGATGCCTCATGGAAGGAGAAAGCATGAGGGGTGGTTTGTTGAAAACATGGGTGGGGTTGGCTGCATGTTTGGAGTACAGTCATATCTAATTAGTGACCTTGAGAATGATTTTAAGTGCCAAATTGAGCAGTGTGTTCATACTTGATCTCTACAATAGCCCTCTTCAGTGTCTCAAAATAGGCTTGGTCATATCAGATTCTATGTGAATTTGATGTAAAAAGCACCAGTTGACATGGTACCAACAAAATTTTAGCATAAGAAGTCAAAAAAGAGTGCACATTTCGTGACTTCTTGTCAACATATTGATATTTTCAAATAGAAGTTCATAACATCTTGCCTGATTTGGTGCAAGGTATTGGAGGGGAACGTTTTCTAATACCCGATGGTACCTACCATGCATTATCTTACTCGTTTGGTAATCACAATTGTTTTATGTTTCTACTTTGACTCGAAGTAAAAATAATGTTTCCACTTTAAAGTGTGTTTAACACAATTTCAAAATTTATTACAAGATTTTTGAAAGGAAAAATGTGAAAGCATGTTTGGTAAAAAGTGTTGCGAATTTGAAAAATTGAATGGCTAGTTAAAAATATTAATTTAGAAAGATTTTTTTTTTTTTTGAACAGTGCTTTGCTACAGTGTGGAAGCAAACAAAAATATCATTTTGATACTTCCGATTTTGGCCTCAATTTTGGAAGCGCTTCGGTACTATTCAAATAACAACAAATGTTACCAAACATGCTTCGTACTTTTACTTTGTTATAGTATACTAGCAAAAACAAAAAATACGAAGCAAAAGCATTAACCAAACATGCATGAATTTCGTACTTCCGATACCTAATATCTAAGGGTGACAAAGTTCAATACGGTCCGTCAACACGACTCGAACATGACACGAGATAAATGAATTTGGATTGACCTTAAACGAGTTCAAGTAAAAACGGGTTGATAC